TGCTCTGATGGTGTTTCCTGCTTGGCAGGGGGTTGGACTCGATGGCCCTTGTGGTCTCTTCCAACTCTATGATTCTATGATTCTATGATTCTATGGAACACCAATGGAAAACCATCTTTCCATCTGATGTCCAGGGAGTTCTTCAAAGCAATGGACAGATCTGGAGCTAATTGTGCTGGATTGTTGTCTCTCACATTAGTGACCTCATGGTACCCTTGCATTATTTCTTTAGATATATGCTATATGCTATCAAATGTATTTGTAAGCATCTGGGTGAAAAGAGTAAAGATATGGAACAAAGTAACAATCTTTAACTTATTTCTTTTGCATACTTCACCATACAACTTGAATACTCCCTATCCCACATTGTATTCTTGAACTTTACCTCATGTATATAGGACTTCATTTTAAGATTTCACCCAGATAATGACAACTCTCTCTTAGTTTAGCTCAAATTCTGACTTGCTGACATGTGATCAAGACATGACCTGCATGTCCCATATTTTGTTAGCTGCAATGGTGTATGAAGCTTCACACAGATTCAGAGCAAATCATGACAGACCAGTTTGACCAGGCTTATATAACCCTGAGATTGTGATTCTTTAACCTGAGATTTTTTAACCTTCTTCACTTTGCTCTTCTTACAATCCTATCCTCACACCCTCTCTAGCTTGCTGCAAACCCACAGGAGCTCTGTTTGCTCCAGCAGGCAAAGCAGGAGAGTGGGTGACACTATCCGGGTAGGAGAGGCTGTGGAGCCATGAAGAGAAAAGTCACGCTCTTCAGTTTGCAACCTTAACTGCCCTAGAATATGCAGCCAAACCAATTAGCAGATTAAAGAATTGAAAGTTCTGTTGAGAAATCCAGCATGGTAATTTTTGCAGAACTCTACAGCCCTTTCAATGGCACGGGCAAATGAAATAATTTGTCAGAACTCTAGTGGTAGAAGATTATCTGACTTTTCCTTGTTTATTTCCATGAGTGTCAAAGAAATCTTAGTAGACCGTTTTGTAAACTGTTCTGAGACTTAAGATTGCATAGTGTTGGACTGCGTGTTTGAATGCAGTTTAACCTTGGAACTGTTTGTATAGACCAGCTCTTATTTGTGTAAAGAAAAGAAAATGGGCCTTGAAAACTCCCCTTTCCTTTTCTGTTCAGTGGAAGACATCTGTCTGGGGTTAGTTCAAGAGACACCTTGGATATCATAAGCAGGGTGGCTGAGATAAGGGGACAGATCTGCTTTCTCTCCTACCTACCACTCCTCCAGTCCCATTCCCCACATTAGTGGTCCCACCAGCAAAGTCTGCAAGCCCCCAGCCTCAGGAACTATGCTCCATCCAACCAAATAGGCAGGTTAGCCTGTGCAGCTGTCCATCTTCTGAACTGACCGCCTCCCTCTGCTTCTGTTTCTCCCACAGACTGGCTCTTCAGCATGGTGATGGTCATGTGGTGGATTACTTGTGTCAGCCAGTCATTGATTACATCCTCAAGAGTCAGCTGTACCTGAATGCCTCTGGCTAAAGCTGCCTCGGAGTTGCACCATGGCAGCCCTATTACTCCACTCTCCTATGGTTGCTCATCACAATTCTCTCTTTCTCACTCTCTCATTTCTTTCTCATTGCCTCTTGTGTGCATCTGCCTGTTTCACTCTGATGTCCCACCACCACTACCAAATGCCGGGAAGTGCTGCATACAACAACCAGCTGAGTGCACACTCCATCGAGTAATCTTCCCCCTTCTAGTTAGGAGAGAAAGTGGAAGAGAGGATCAGATGCCACGTGCCTCAGGGGGACAGCTTTGGTGTCTACCTTCCCAGCATGCATTAGTAGGGGATGGAACATTGCATACCTTTCTAGCACACCTTGGAAGCCAGGAAGGTATTTTCATAATACATCAGCTAAATAAATTTCAGTGGGCCTTTTTATTTTTAATGCAGGGTTTTTTTCCTCTCCCTCTATTTTTGGCTTTCTAAAAAATTGCTGTGATCCATTCAAATTAGAATGTGGTTGGCAGAAGGAGATTCTGACCCACTTGGTACAAAGCCCAGACTTTTTAGGTCAAGCATGGAAGATTTAGCTTGAAAAAGAAAGAAAAAGAAAAGAAACTGCCCAAATTCTGGATTGTGTTATCTGAAGGAGGGGAATTGCTGGGGAAAGGATGAAAGAATGGCAGGGAGGCAGAATTTCCCTTTGTAAATAGATGCTTGTTTCTAAGGGCAGGGGATTTAAATGGGTTTCCTGTTGTGCTTTAATCCCTTTTTAAAAAGGAGCAGTCCCTAGAGTAGAGTAGCGACACAGAGCACACCTGCCTGGGATGCTGCAAGTAAGTAACCCACCTTGCTTGCTCATGGAATGCCTTCAATCATTTGTCCCAGATTGGCCGTGTCCTCTTGGTTTAAAGTGTTTAATTTTCTGCAGAAACTCATTTGGCTTTTCATCACTTGTGGTGTCCACTGCACCCTTGCTAGTGTGATTAGTTCAGGCTCGTTCATTCGCAGCTGTTTCCCTCTGTCAACATGCCTGCCTCTTTCAGCCTTGTGGGGCAACTGCAGTTAGTTCCACACTCACTCAGGCAATGCCCTCCCCTCAAGGAAATGCCAGCAGCTGCACTCCATTTAGTTCTCAAAACAGGTGGCCAGTTGTTATTGTTTTATAGCTAGTGAGAGGAATTGTATTATAGCTAGTGAGAGGAATCAGTGAATGTCTGTCAGAGAGGAAGAAATAATGTATCACAACAAAACCATGAGTTGCACTTCCTCACTTGGCCCCACTAAACAGAGTTAGAGGATAGAGAAATGTGTCAAATGCCTGAGGGGTTGTGTGTATTTGCTTGATCTGGGGAAGTATTCGCCTGTGTGATCCTCCATCAGCGACTCTAGAGTGGTATAGCCTCAGCAAGGCTGTTCCATGTGAGATTTCTACAAGCGTAGATCAGCTATTCTTGGCTGGACTTCATTCTGAGCTCTTGCTTGGCTAGATGTTTCTCACTGGACTTAGAGGTGACCATCAGCACTGAATACAGGGTGTGTCTCTGGAAAAATCAGTATTTAGAATCTCTGGCTGCTTCCACGTTGCTGTCCTTGAGTGCTAATGCAAACTACAACCAGAATTGTAATTGTCTTTCCACACTATTGGGGATATTTCGCTTTTCTTTTGTTTGTTCTGCTGTGTGACATAGCTGCTCTGGATGAGGAAGAAGGTCCAAATAACCTGTGCAGTTATTTGAGAGGGGGGAAATCCAGTTGTTGTTGTTTTAAACAAAGAGTCATTTATTTAGTACTAAGCACTTACTCGTTTGAGTGTGATTGTCCATTATTACTAACAAAATGTCAAATAACCAAGTATTTAATGTTTCCTTTGTATTGAAAGTGTTGAATCAGGGGGAAAAGTCCTTGTGGTGATGAGTGGAAAGGTTTCTGTCTTCTTTTCCTTTAGTAATTTATTGTTAGAGTACTAAAACATTTTTTTTAATTTAAGCAGTATTTTGCTACTATTTTAATATTATATATCCAGAAAAGCATTTTAGTGCTATTTTAAATATTGATGAAAAATACTGTCTGATTTATAAAATGGTGCCCACCACAAAGGTTATCATGAATGATAAACATGCTTGCTCAATACGTCACTGCCTGCATCAAAACCACATATCATTTTTTTAAAAAGAGGATAAGAATAGTGCTAAGGGCATCCATGTATGTGAGGCTTGCACAACCCTTTTCAAGAAGATAAAACTTTCTGCTATTAGAAAAAAAGATGAAGGAAACACTGAGAAAACAAAGAAGGGTTATAAATGGAAGATGTCACGTGGACTCGTAAAATGTGAGTGAATGGGGCATGGGGATTCCACCCTAAATACCTCCCTCATTTTCTGTTGCATGTTCTTAGGCAGCTGCTACCCCTAAAAGCATCTGGCAACCAGAGAGGATAGTGGCACACAGGATGAGATTTGTGTCGCAACCTGGCATTATAGGACCACACCCCAAAGCATTCACTACCCCTTAGACACTCACTGCTGTCACAGGCAGATGTACAGAAGAGACCGTCTCTTTGATGAGAATTTTTCTACTCACAGAAGGCTTAGAAATCCTACATGACTCTAGATAAGTAGCTATTGCTGTCCTGTTCCGCGTTACCAACTACTATTTCCAAAGCACTCTCTCTTTCACATGCCTCCGTTTTAAGAGCAGCCACAACCTCTTGCTGGAACCCACGATACATCTCAGTGCTAAGCTGCAGAGTGCAAAGCCAAGAACGTATCTGACAGCCTGTATATGTCTCTGTGTGTGAGAGAGTGAAAGGCAGAAATTGTGGCCTTCCAAAAATTTTTGAAGGACACTTTTGTGGGGAGGATTAAAAAAATGAGGTTAGCAAAGAAAATAGAGGGATGAATTCTCCATACTCTGGAACAAAAGATGGGTTATTCGGCCACTTTCCTGTTTCATCCAGTTTAGGACAGCATGCCTTAGGAACATAGCATTGTGGTTCAGATGATGTATATAATGTCTTATTTGTCTTATCTTTGCCTTCATGTGCTCAGTTATGCTTATGGTTAGGGGGGAGGGGGAGAGAGAGCAGGGCGGAGCATAAATCTGGATGATGCTGATGGGATTGGTTTGGAAAGAGTTGGCAAAAGTGTCAGGCTTTGACCCACACATCAAAGGAGTGGGTTTTCATTGCAGGGTGGGGATTGGGGGGGAGAGGGAGGGAAGGTGACTGTTTTACATTACTTGCAATTTTAAACCGTAAAATTTGCTTTGTTTAAAAAAAAGTTTTAAAAGGAAAAAAAAAGATTTGAATATGCTAGAGTTAGGTCATTGTTGCTAAAATGGTCATGGCCAAAAACAAAACAAAATGTTTAAAAGGATGTAATAAAAAGAAAATTACACTAATGAAATTTGTGTTGACCTTCACTACTGTTTCCGTTTACTAGGTAAATTTCTGTGGTTTGCAGCATAGCAACTAGTTAATGGGACTTTAGAGAATAGTTTGCTGGAAACAAGCACAGTTTAACAACCTTATTTTATTTTCACTTAGCAATTATATTAAAATAGAATTCTGCTGTTCTTGCTTCATTTGTTGTAGCAAAGGTTGATAGATGGCTGGTTATATGTTGTTAAAGTAGCATGCTGACACCATCTGCTGCTGCCTCTCCCGGTGACAAACAGGATTATTCGCAGCACAGAATCCCATGTGAAAGGTCTGGTGAACAGGGAAAGGCAGATTAGTCCTAATCCAGAGAAGTATCCAGTAAGACCTCCATGTGCACCTGGGTTTTATTGTACTTTTATTTCTGTAGCACAAGAACTCTCCCATGTAGCATCAGAAGCTGATTTCAAACTCTGGTGGGAGAGCAGTTGCTAGAGCAGGGCCTTTGTGTGTAAAAAGCAAGAAGAGAGGCTTCGACCTCTTCTGGACTGAAAGTGAATCATGGTTGTCTGGCAACTACAAGGTACTGTCTTTCATCTGTTTTGTGGACTGAGCAAAGAAGCTGGCCAGGCTGATGCCAGGACTAATCACTAGGTAGCAGTGGTAGAATGGTTGAGGGATGATCACAGAATCAAGGCATTGACCAGGATCCCTCAGTCGCTGGGGCATGCTGCAACTACCTTTATCCAAAGTTAAAGTCGATTTCGCCTCCACTAAAATGTTCACACTGTACGGAGGGGGGGGGGGAGAGAGAAGTTTCCAGAATGAGAAACACAATTAAGGAAATAAGCAGCCTTCTCAAACCATGGGGATTCATTATTTATTTTGCCCTTTTACCCAACCACAACAGAATACTTGATATTTAGCACCATTATACACGTGTATGAAGTACTGTTTGAAGCAAGGGCATAGGTCATGTTTCTTTTTCCAACTACAGTCTTGAACGATAACTTAAAACAGAGTTATAAAATGGACACCAACAGAATTATCCAGAGGGATTTTGTCTGTCTCCCACAAGAAAGTCTCTCCCTCCTTTGACTGCGATGGTGATTCAAAACAAGAAGCTTAGGCTGCCATCCTAGACCCAGTTACCTGGGGGTAAGTTCTATTGCATTCAGTGGGACTTTCTTATGAGTATATATAGGCTTGCACTGCTAGGCAATTTTACTAAGCTATAACCTAAGGCCAGGTAGGTGGTTCTCACTATATAGCCACATGAGGTTAACCAAACACTCTTGAGCTTGTTGTAGATAATCTACCAGAGACACCCCCATTTTCATTGTAAAAAAAGGGAAGAGAAATGAAGCAAGAACATATTAAATCACCATTGCTGCCACAGGCTTCTACAAACCTATATTTATTTTCTACAAGTAACTCTCAAGGCTTCCCCGCCCCGCCCCCCCACTCTGAGGGACTCTGGGAACTGTAGTTTGATTAGAGTATTGAGAATATGCTGTTTGATATCACTGATTCCCCAGAATTCCTGTGGTGAGGCAATGCTACTGAACCAGTTTTAGGCCTATGCAAGCTTTCAGTGACCCACACTTATCCAATCCTTGAGGTTAAGAAACATTAGATGCTAAGAAAGATTTTCAGAAGGAAAAGCAGCCTGCGAGATTCTAAGTGGGAGAGTGAGAGTTAAGAGTAATTCATGGTAATAAAAAGGTTTTAATGTAGCATAAGTTAATTTAGCTGGGTTTAACTTCCATCTTATTACATTAGATCAGGCTGGGAGAAAGGAAGGCTAGGATGGCGGACACGTAGTAGGGAGTTCAGATTCAGCTGCTGGCTCCGAGCTTTGCACTGCAGCCACACACTAACCCAGGGCACATACCTTCTCCTAATATATTCAGCAATAATCATGTCTCTCAGCACACCAGTTTCTTTAAATTCAGCTGCTTTATCGTGCAGCCTGCAGGTTTCCCTCTTGCCTCCCAGGAGTGGGACAACTAGGATAAACTTTATGTCTCCATGCTTGATGCACCAAAGTGGAACAGCTGCAACATAAACCAGAATGATGCACCTGCTCTTCCAGCCTGATGAACGGAACTTAAAAAAGATCTATTCAGCAGTCACATGTGGCTTTTTGAATCCTGAGAGGCTTGGATTTTTTGAAGCACTCAAAACCGTTTGCCTAACTCTGATGCTTTGTGTATCCGAGATCTGGCAGAGTACACGGAAGTCTTCTGTCCCAGCTTCCAAAGGCTTCAGGGTTTCTCAATGGGTGGTATGTTGTAGCAACTTGGGGGAAGACTATCGCGGATTTCCTCCAGGTTCTTGATATCATCAAGGATCTCAGTAATGCTCCATTCCAGTGTCTGAATCCGAAGTTTCTGACGCCTGGCTGTTTCCTCCAGTTGCGCCATCAGTTCTTTCAACTGGTTGTTTCTTGTTCTGACTTTACTTAGGTTCGTTTCAAGCATGATCACACCTTGCTCATCCACAAACTCAGGTTGGTCTATACGAGGAGGTAAAATAAAAGGAGAACTCAATAGCAAAACCTTCTGAGCAAGCATCCCTCAATCTACTTGGTTGTTGAAGGAGCTGTCCCATAATCCACAAACCCAAGACTTTATAATAGTGTTGCCTAAACTTCTGATAGCCAAAGCCCACTTTTGTCTGAATTAAATTTAGAGGCAGGTTCACTCTACCTTCAAAACACTGCCTTTTAGAGGCTGAAGGCAGCAGGTACCACCTACACCTTCAGAGGACTCTGTGTGAGAAACTGTTCAGAGTATGACCCCTGGTTGGAAGAAGGCACATCCAGAGCAATGATTCATGGAGGGATGCAATAGACAGTTTCCTCTGAAGTGAGGTGATCCAACCAACAGGTAATGCAGAGATGCTGTGTAAGTTTCCAGAGAATGACCGGGAAGTAGCCAATTTAGGGATCAGAGAAGCATTCACTTAATTCCAGCTTCATTCACAAATCCCAGTTTGACACAATCAGTTACAGTAATTAAGCCTATTGTCCATTGATAAAACTGCCACTGGAATGTTATTTATTCACTTATGGATCCCGGATTCTAAAAGAAGAAGATCATCAGCTTTATTTAATAGGTGCACATCGTGATTCAGAAGTGGTCAATAACCCTGGATTCTCTGCTACCCCTTGCTGAAAACTGACCCTAAATTAGAAGATCTTAGAAAGGCTTTCATTAAGGTAAGTTTCCAAACAATGTTCTCCATTGTATGTGGAACATTTTTAATGATACTAAGCAATCTGTGATTTTGCATTTGTGGATAGATTTTGAATTGTAGACCGTTATTTGTTTAATCAACAAAAACAGTCTTCTTGTAGTAAATAAATATGCAACCGTAGACAACAAACAATGTTGTCATCAAATTGCGAGAAATTCATAACCCATACTGTCTCTCTGTTTGCAGTTGCAGCCAAGAAAATCCAATCAAAGCTTCTCCAAAAGGCTTAAATTTATTGTGATGGCAATCGTGTAGTATGAGTGGTAAAATTTATGATAGGAATTTCCCTATCAGTCACCCAAGCTATTTATAAATCTAGTCCATGAGCTACCCTGTGATGTTTAATTCGGTAATTTTATGCTCATAAAATTTCTAACAGACTGCAATTTGTGATGACTAATGTTGTTTAAAAAACTTGATACAATCTTATTTATTTAGTGACATTTGCATTCCACTCTGTTCCTCACTTGCTGGCAACAGTGCATTAGCTTTACAGAAATATACAAGCTAAATGATGCTAAGCAACTTCTCCACAAGCACCTGCATTTTCCCCATAGGTAACTGGATGTCCCCTGTCCAAGTGCTGTGTGGCGCCTCTATGCAATTTGAGAATGTTATGACTCCACCTACTACATGTGCTTGCCCCACTTTACATCCACACAGCCTGGATGGGATATCTTAATTTGGCACACGTGCGCAGAGTCCAGTGCACACACTGCCAATGTTACATGGCAGTTCCTTCTGCCATGCATATTGGGCCTGCAGACGTTGAGCTCTGCATACAAAGCCCTTCAAAAGGCTGTGTGTGTGATACCTGGGTGTCAGACAGGACAGGTATGCATAACTCCTCCCATGCAAATTCATACTTACCTGAGGGGACTGTGTTAACTGCTATGTCACAGGTGTGTGATCATGGGTGTGATTCTTATAACTGAAATAAGCTAGGTCTGATTAAGGACTTTGCATGAACCAGCAGCCTCAAAAGAGTGCAATTTATCACACAACAGTATTCAGTCCTGCAGCTTCATGAACTGGTCCTGGTGCATGTAATGTGTTAGAAATGAAAAGATCTTGGATCTGAAGTCCTAACATTGGTAACGAGTTAAAACCACAATATGCTTTGACACACCGCAAAATGCTGCACATGTTGAAGAGCAGCTGGTATGTGGAAAAATATAAGGCCACTCCTAGGGCACAGAAATATGTTCCCACAGCAAACGTATGTTTGCAATCCCACATTTGCCAAGATAATGTGAATGTGGAGAGGGTAGAGGATCAACAGGGATTCAGCACTCCAGTCTCCTGCTTGCCTATTCTCCCCACATACAGCCTGGCCTCTTGTTAGGGTATCAAGACCACCACTGGGTTAGGGACTCTCTCGTGATGTGTAGTTCACAGATCCCATGGTTTCATCATACAATAAAAAGCTATCAGTTACATTTTATGTCTTTATTTGAACCCATAATGTTTTGTCCAGTTGTGTTTTAGACTTCTTCATCCTATGTAGCGGCCTCTAGATTTCTCTCTGCGACAGAGGGGGCATCTGTACAGGACCCGACACTACAGGGATTTTCATTGTGGGACAGTTGCATGTGGTGCCTCAATCTAGGCTCTCAGTGCCCAGCTAATCCTTAAGTACAGTGGTACCTTGGTTCTCGAACTTAATCTGTTCTGGCAAGTCCGTTCGACTCCCGAAACCATTTGAAAACCAAGGCTTCTGATTGGCTGCAGGAGTTTCCTGCACTCAAGCGGAAGCAGCATTGGATGTTCAGCTTCTGAAAAAGGTCCACAAACCGGAACACTTATTTCCAGGTTTGTGGCGTTTGGGAGCCAATTTGTTTGACAACTAAGCCATTCAAGAACCAAGGTACCACTATACTATATATTTCAATCAATCAATCTCATATGATTAAGCTATCAATAGAGTAAATATTTTTTAGTCAACTACCTTTCACCAATAAATTGATTATTTTTGTGTATCATCAGAACTTCAGCAGAGATATTGAAGAAAGTGTGACATAGCATATGAATGCCACCTTTATTTCTTTTTGATCCCTTCTCACTAGAACCAAAATGGCCTCCAAAAGTGAACAAGTCTGCCCTTAATGGTCTTTTTAAAAAAATAATAATTTTTATTTGATTTTACAAACCTAAAGTTATAACAATACCAAGTACATGTACACCTTTAGAGATTTATCTGAATCTCCAGACTTCCCAACATTCCCTCCATTGTTAACATTTTCAGCTACATATTATTTCATGATCTATATTTTGAATCTCTCCATATTGTCCATAGTAATTGTTACACTGCAAGTGTTATTAAAATTCTGCTAATGTTTAAGTCTGCCCGTAATATTCAGCTGCACCAACAAACATTTGCTCCCACCTACTCTAACTGGTTCCTGCTTATTTCTTCCAACTCTACGATTCTGTGCTGGAATAATGTTTCCAGACTTAACAGGAAATAGAACTGCTTCTTACCCATCATGCGCAAAACATCATCCAAGGCACGGAGGACTTCTTGGACTGTGCTCCCAGCATCACTGGCATCCGCCCGGGCACCCTGTGATGCCTGACCAACCTGAAGAAGCCGCAACAATCAAACGCATTATTAGCCGGCTTTCCTCCCTCAGGAGGTTCCTTTAAAACCCCTTTTAATAAAAAGGCAAAAGCTGCACACTCACTTCCTGAGCTCTGGTTGTATCCATGCCAACCTCCAGCTCCTTCCTCTGTAACTCGCTCTCCACACGTCTAGCCTCATCCCGCAAAGAAATGATTCCTTTCTCCAGGACTAATACTCCATCTGCTGTCCTGTTTGCTTCCATGGCCAGCCTTCCTATCTCCTGCAAAACAAAGTCAGCCAACAGCACAATTATAAGGTCAGAATCAGTGGCAATGCAAAGAAGACTAAGACAGGAGTTATGGGCAGGTGAAGGAAAAGCCTTGGTGGCTTGAGGTGCAGAAACAATGAGCAACTGCATTAGGTAGATGGTAAAAGACCACAGGTGTCTGTGTATACAACCAGTACTGGGGAATGAGGGGCATGTCATGTGTGATCACATTTCATTACATTCTGGTGCAGATGTAGCCATGTGGCTCCTTCCATCAGCTCCAGCTAGCTTGGTCAGGGATGATAGGATTGGCAGTCCAAAAACATATAGAAAGCACCACATTGGCTCACCCTGTTGTAGTCTGTGTAATGTTTATATTTTACTTCTCTGTAAATTGTATTGAGACGTATTGAGTAGTAGTAACAATAATAATGCTACAGAGTATCAGGGTCAAGCTCCTGCAAACCACCTCTAGCTGGGCTACAGCCAAGGAGAAGTCCTCTGTTCACAAGTCCTCTGCCAGCAACTGACTAGCTGGTCCCCATCATAGTAACCTACCTCACAGGGATGTTGTAAGAATTACTACATAACAGTGTACATGTAGCAGTTTGAATTCTCCAAGTGCTGTGGAAATGCCATGGTGTACAGCTAGGGTTGCCATATTTCAAAAAGTTAAATCCAGACAGAAAAATTGTTGAGCTATTTTTATGGGAAATCGGCTACCATACGTCCGAATTTTCCCAGACATTTTTCCGATTTCCATAAGGACACTGCTGCTGACTACGGTATTCCAGATATGTCCGGGAGACTCCGGACATGTGGCAACCCTATGCACAGCATATCTCCCTGCATTTTAGTTTACGTAGTTTTGAATAACAATATGTTATCCAACCTAGCAGTTCGACAGCACGTCAAAGTGCAAGTAGATAAATAGGTACCGCTCCAGCGGGAAGGTAAATGGCATTTCCATGCGCTGCTCTGGTTTGCCAGAGTCATGCTGGCCACATGACCCGGAAGCTGTACGCCAGCTCCCTCGGCCAGTAGAGCAAGATGAGCGCCGCAACCCCAGAGTCGGTCACGATTGGACCTAATGGTCAGGGGCCCCTTTACCTTTACCTTTACCTTTTATCCAACCTGAGCTTCCAGCAAACGTTGGATACAAGTCTGAATGAACAATTCCAAACCAGGCTGCTGCCAGCCAGGTATCCTTGATCCCACCCCTATATCCTCACTGTAGTTCTCTGGCACTAACATACTTTCAGCCCCCCCCCCCCCATACCTGGTCGATGTCCCCCGCAATCTCCTTTGCTTCCCCAGCCATTCTCAGGGCTGCCTCTGCTTCTGTAGTTGCAGTGCCCAGGGCTGCTTCTGCGATGCTTGTCTTTTCACTGGCTCTGGTGACTATGTTGCTGATGAACGGGAGCCTTTGCATGGCATCTTCAGCTTCTTTTCGCTTGTTCCCTACTTGAAGATCGAACCCTGCAAGCAGAAAGGGTGGGAGGGAACTCAACTGAATAAGGAGCCGTATTAGTGCAGAGAGGAGAAGTCTGAGCCAAAAGTACTGAGCTGGGTACTGACCAGCTTCCAATAGTTTATGGTTAAAGTACCAGGCAGAGAATTAGGGAGCAAGAACAGGGCAAGGCAGAGAACATGGAGGCTTTTCAAGCAGAGGCTGGGCAGCCAACTCTGGGGGATGCTCTAGCTCTGAAATTCCTGCATCAAATTTGGGATTAGACTATGTGGCCAATGAGACCCTCTTCTTCTGTGATTTAGTGCAGGTGACCCTCTAATAGGGATGGGCAAATTTGTCAATTTTAGTTTCTCATTTTTCCAATCTTAAGCTCAGCTCTCCACATTTCCACAGCAATTTGCAAATCCTTGTGAACATTCACCAGCCTTTTAGGACAATTTCTCCTAATAAACTTTGTTATTTTCACAAATATATGCACTTGAATCAACACTTTGCTTACTCATTTTTGTACACAGTGGTTGGTTGCAGAACTGCATTGCAAAATTCAAACAAGTGCAATTTTGGGGGAATTGCTGAGTTTCAGTCTGTGTCCTGCAAAATCAGACTTAATTTGGATCATAGCTGGGATCTGGGAACGGAGTCAAACGCTGATTTCAGATCCAAGAAGGCCACGAAGAGTTTACCCTGTAGAGGCCTGGTATACTTCTCGGCTAGGAAGGACAGCATTAGACAGTGGTCTGTTGTTGAATGGTTCTCACGAAAAGCTGCCTGGGCTTCAGATAGTATATTGTGTTCATTTAGAACACAATTGTATTTATGTTGAACTCTGGACATGGATGTCATTGCTTCTTCTGGCCTCCTCCTCAATGAACTCGCCACCCATTACTCAGAAAACCCGCCACCACAACACACCTGCAAATGGTCTAGACCCAGCAGTTGTCAAGCAACTCACCCTTGAGATTCTTCAAGATGCTGTCCACTTCATCAAATGTGGCATTGCCAGCACTCAGTGCCTGCTGAGCTTTACTCTTGGCAAGGTTGGCACGAGACAGCAGTTGGACAGACACCTGCAACAAGCAAACAAAATAAATAGCATGAAAATACAGCCCTACTCCCAGATCTATAGAAATGCCCTCTATTGGAGAATTCAAGGACACTAATTAAAAACTAGTTTGTTTCTATTCCTTAAGTGAAATAGACATGCCGTAAAAAACATGCCCATAACACTTGCCTAGAAACGCATAAATGGCTAGGAATGGATTAAAGATTTCAGGGATCCCAGAGCCCTTTACCCAATATGGATGTACTTTACCAGTCTGTCGTTCTGTCCTTTTTGCAAGAGCTCTTTGATCTCTTCCTCCCAACGCTCCGTGTTGCCTTGGAGCTGCTTGTATTCTGCAATGTACATTCCCGCTAAGCCACTTAAAGAATCTGCTTTCTTCCGGAGCTGACCGGCTTCCTCCTGAGAAAAGCATCACTTGGTTCACAGCTGTCACAAAAAGCGGCCTCTCTCCACCTCTAGCAAGACCACCCATATCTAAGAAGTGCAAACAACTGTTGACGAAATAAGGGATGGGGAACTGGTGGCCCTTCCAGTGTTGTTGGCACTACAGCTGCCATCATCCCTGATCACTGGCCACACAGCCTGGGGCTGATGGGAGTTGGAGTCCAACATCTGAAGGGTCACATGTTGTTGAGAGAGAGAGAGCGCGCACACGCACACACACGCACACACCCCTCACCTGAAAGAAGCTTGTGTCGACCTTTGGTAAGCGAGCCAGAGAGTCAAGCACCATCTGACTACTCTGGTAGACCCTGCCAGCATCAGATGCAGCTTTGCCAGCATCAGCCTCCAGTTTGCTTGAGAGCAACTTTACCTCATCATATCTGAAATGGGAAGATAACTTTTGAGCCTAGGAGTGTGAAACTCCTTTTTTCCAAGGGGTATACCACATCACCAAGTTAATGTATGAATGCAGCCCAGGAAAGGGAAGTGATTCTGCTTTTGGGCTCTCCTATCTTCCATGATTATTTGTGGCCAAGACATCCAAGCATGTTGTGATTCTCATAAACCAGGACAGGCAATGACTGATTAACGTGTATCCAAAAGAGCTGTGAACATGCATGCGCCGAACCCGGAAGTGACCCCAAAATGTCACTCAATGCGTCACAAAAAGGACAGAATGGGGGCAGGGTGGAAGGGGGTGGGGTGCATTTATCTGCTCTCCTGACGCACATGGGGGCCAGGAGCCCGTCACTGACTGCCTTCTAATTCTGAGAGCCCCACTAAGCCAGAGGGGAACCTCCATGATCTCTTTTGCTGAGACTCTTGTGCAATGCAAGGTTAGTCCATTGTAAGATACTACTTGAGTCTTTTCTGCATCTGATAGTTTATTCTTCCTCATAATTCAGCACAAATCACTTGGTTCAAATCTCAACTCAGTCATGAATTCACAAAGTGGCCTCAAATGCCTCAGCTCCTTGCAAAGTTGTTGTAAAGAATTATCGAAAAATATGTCTGTGAGGAGCTTTGAATATTAAAAACACACTATATAAATAGCAAGTGTTACTATAATTATATATTATTATGAAAAGTATAGTAAATGAAATAATATGTTATTATAATAAAAATAAGGGACGTGTTTTAACATCAGTCTTAAACACCCGGTTTTCTGTGACATGAATTATTCAGTTGACTTGATCAGATCTAGTTTGTTAGTTTTTGCCAACTCTGAAAATTTCCATCACATTTTCTTGGAGTTTTTTTTCCTGGGAAAGGAGGGTTCTAATACCCTGCTATATTCAGCTTAACAGCATATAAAAGGTTGATAACGAACACAGTACCCTTAGTTCACACAAAATAACCAGTAATATGTCCCATGGGGAGCTCATAATCATGCCTCATGGTCATATTCTTTCTATAAAAGCCTGTCCATAACATTCCCTCACATTTCAGCATCTGTAAGAAGCAGAAATCTGGGCAGGACACGGCATATATGGAAAGAGCAAACTTGAGTCCCAATTAAAGCTGGGCTCCCCAGAAGCTTCACCATTATAGTTTCACCAACCACACTACAGAACTTTCTCCCATAAAAGTCAATCGCTGCCATTTACTCTGACAGAGAACAAGGCCAATGCTGAGCCTGGGAATCAGTCAAGATGAAGGGAAAACCTCTTCTCACCTCGCCACTTTTCACCAGGTCCAGGTGTGGGGGGGCAAGGAGGGGCTTGGGCAAGCTGCCTCCAAACGCAGCCCCTCATCTGTTGCTACCCCTGCCCATTCACCTGCCCTCTCTATCCTGGTTCCTGCCCCTCACACTTATCACTGTTTTCTCACTCAGAGGAGGTGAACAGGAAGTGAAAGCAGCCTATGAATGTTTTCATAAATTACATGAAAAAAATAGGTTCCCAGGGCTTCGCTTGGCTTAGTGTAGATTAAAATCCCACTGGCAATTAGAATGCTCTCCACAGACTTATTAACTGAACAGATATCAAGAAGTAATGAATTATTAGGAACCATTTAAGGGAGGTGGGAAGTCAAGTTACAAATCAGGGAGACGAGCCAAAGGGTGTAAAGATGTATAACTGAAAATGTTTGTTTTTTATTTTTATTTTGCTTTTTATGTTTTGCTTTTTTTCTCTTTTCTCTAGTTTTCTTTTGAATATGCAATATGTATATGTATTTGTAATATGGAATATGTAATCAAAATAAAATATATGCATAAAGAAAGAAGTGAAAGCAACCAAGCAGAGGTGATGCCCTCCAGAGGGCACCAGTTTGGGGAAGACTGCTTGGGAGTTGGGCATGGGCTCAGCAGATGTGCAGTGATAGGCATCCTTCATGCTGAACCTGCCTGACACCTGGTAGCTCAATCATCATGAAGAGAGGCCTCCCTCAGAGGGATGCCATCTGTCTCTGTGTCAGGGGTGGGGAACATGTGGCCTTGCAGACGTTGCCAGGCTCCAACTCCCATCTGCAATCTTGTGGGCCTTTATTTTAAGACATGCATCCTGGTAGTAAACATATTTTGCACCTTGTGATAAACATTATTGTGGTAAGCAGCTCTGAATTTGGAATTGCATTACATCTGCATCACACGCACCAAACAGGATTTGGAGCCCCTGTTAACTAACCTCTCGCTCCCTTGTCTCCAATGTTTTCTTTGTTTCGCCTATTCTTTTCACGTAAGTGCTTTCCTTAATCTACTAAGCATTTTTCCTGTTGGGATTCCCCTTTTGGATCTTAATCAAGCCGGGAATTGGGGACTTTCCAAGCTCGTCATTTAAATCCTCTTGTCCCTTATGTGTTACTGACAACAATGGTCAATTTATGGTAAGAATTGCACCCCAGTCAGAGACCAATGGACTAGGAAATGCTTAAGCCCTCATCAATACTGTCACTTAATGTCAACAGTACACTTCCTGTACCACTATTAATTCTCCATTAACTTTCACCCTCAATCCAGATTTTCTTTTTGGAGAACCACGGAGAATTAAAAGAGGTACAGGAAGCTTATTATCCATATTAAATGACCTGGTTTTTCCTTATCCCAGGAACAGCTCCAGTCCTATTTCAGAATGCTTTTAGCAATCATAATAATAATATCATGAAATAATGATGATGGGACATGAAGTCAGCCGAGACGAGAAAGGGAACGTTCCCTGCACTGAAAAAGCATTCAAAGCAGCACAGTTGGACATACTTTTTGTGGAGCCCTGGCACAGAGTTCACCAGGATGTCTCCTCCACTTGCAGATGACTGCAGCAATCCCAGTGCCTGCTCTGAGGCTTCTGCCGCTGCCCTGGCTGCTAGCTCAATAGTATCTGCCAGCTGCATGTGCCTAGAAGGCAAAAAGAGAACATCTGGGAAAGGGGGGAGAGGATGATTCACAGCCAGCACCCCACCTTGTCTCTAACCTAAGTAACATGATACAGCATTATAGTTAGCTACTTGGAGACGTTTTTATAGCCTGCTCAATCCCAGGAGCAGGATTCCCAGGGCTTGGATCCCAAGACCCACAAGCAGAGTTGTGTGTGTGAAATCAGCTTCCCAAATCCTCTTCACAACTGCAGCTACCTGTGTTTCCTACTATGTAAACGACAGGAAGCTTTGGCTTTGCACACTCCCTCTTCCCTCCCCTTCTTCTCTTTCATGCTTGCACGCTTTTGCTTCCAGTCTTAAACAAACCACCATTTCCTGTGACACATAACCTGGGAAACTGTAGTTTGTTTTCTTATGTCTGAAACAGGCTCATGTCCTATGTGTGCTGTGGTCATAGAAATTGGCAGTTGCTGATTAACATATGTTAAAACAATGACACTTCCATCAGAAAGTCAAGGTCTGGCATTCAAGAGCCATCACCAATGGGAATGAACTAGCAGCTATAAGGACCCTAAAACTACCTTCACAGGAGACCCCTGGAAATTGGAGTACTTTCCTTGTCTAAAGGCAAGGCAAGTTAGTAACCATATCTGCACTTCACTGTTATAAAATTACTGCTCCTTTTTAAAAATGTTAGGTGTTGATATTTTCAACACAAAGCCCAGTGACAGAAAGTATGTTAGGAGCAGCCTAGTGAAGATTATTATCAACTCACCTGTTTGCCAACTTCATGGCTTCTTGTGCCAGGATTAGAAATTGGTTTGACCCTCCAGGGAGGTCTAAAGATGGAATAATCTGCATGGGGGAGAGAGAAATATCAATGTGTGCTTCCAAGAAGCAGAGGATCCTATGCTGTGTTCCACAGCTCAGCATAATTACACTATAGCCCATGGGTTCTTAGGCTTTCCACCCTCAGGGCCCACCAGAGAGCTAAAAGCCTCTCAGCTCCACCAGTCACAAAACAGTGCATCTCAAAGTGTTTTTACTCATTCTCTGTAATTTCTTCTCTCTGTCTCCAAACCCTTGGCATTGGGCAGGCCAGAGCAGCACTGGTAGGAATTCAAAAGGGGTATGCAGCGTGTCCCATAGACATATGATACATTGCACCACACACCCTTTGCTAGGCATTTCACTAGCAAATGACAATAATGCACAAGGCAGTATTTCAGAACGCAGATACTTGCCATGCTTCCCATCTTTGCCTTGCTCTGCTCCAAATCCAAGCGAGCTCTTGCAACAAGCTTCCTGGCATTTTCTGCCTGGCTCTGGTACTGACCACCCAAAGACTGCAACCTGTTGGCAGTCTCCGTGATCTCCTCCAACCGGGTCCGGTAGGTGGACTCTTGAACTTTCATCTTGGACAGGCGGCTCCCCAAGGACCTGTCAGAAGCTTGGACATGAAGGAAGGAGAACGTTTGACATTAGGCTGGAGAATGCAACATAAATGGGTGCATGGTTGGTGGTGGACAAACAGAGAAGCAATTCATACAACCTGGGGGAGATCCCCACTGAGAAGAGGAGAGTTCCTCTGAATATTCTCAGTTCTGCCACACTAGGTAGTCAGAAGCAGGGGAGAGAATGGACACAGACATGGAAAACTGCTTAACGTTATGACATGAATCATGAATTGAGGGGAAAGACCATGGCTGGCTTACGATGCAGCAAAGTAGCCTGCTCCCGGCTACACTGCAACACACACGAGCCAGTCACTGTAGGCATCAGTATGGCTGGATGTGTTTTCAAGCTGCTGTCTGCCTATACCACTGGGCAGAGAGGGGCATATATGGTATGTCTTTACAAGGCTAACATTTTTAAATTGGATCAAGGTTTTGGGGGGAGGGGATGCATTAAAATGCTGTATTTCTCAATAAACTACAGGCGGGTGTGGATTGTGACTAACATATGTACATGCCTTCACAAACAAGAAGAGGGGGTGCCCTGCTTGCAGAGTCCGTGGGGGGGGGGGGACACGGCTCAGTGGCATAGCATGTGCTCTGAATGCAGGAGGTCTCTGGTTGAAAGCCTAGCACCCCCAATTTAAAGGGCTGGGGAATACACACATTCACAAAACCATCACATCTTAGAACACTTTTATACCACTGGCAGTCCTCCTTTTTCTGCCTTCTAAAAGAATTAAGTCCCAGGAGATAGAAAAATAAGGCTTTCATATATTGTGTGTTCAAGAGGGTTGTGTGTTAACATTTTGCTTTTAAGAACTTTTTCTAGATACAGTGGTACCTCAGGTTACAAACACTTCGGATTACAGACTCCGCTAACCCAGAAGTAGTACCTCGGGTTAAGAACTTTGCCCCAGGATGAGAACAGAAATTGTGCGGTGGCGGCGCAGCAGCAGTGGGAGGCCCCATTAGTGGTACCTCAGGTTAAGAACGGTTTCAGGTTAAGAATGGACCTCCGGAACGAATTAAGTTCGTAACCAGAGGTACCACTGTACAGATGTTTTTGTGTGTGGACATGATTGAACCAAAATTAAGCATTGTCAAATCCCATTGATTCAAATGGGGGGAAATAAACATTTAAACCTCTGTGGCTGCACTCAGCCACTTTTCTCCCTGAGTTCTCTTATAATTGCATCAGATCCTCCAAGTGTTCCTATTTTCCAGGGCCGTCCCTGATTTAGAGAAGCCGTTCCAGTTTCCGATTTGATCCTGGAATGTCCCACTTTTCCTTAGGATGTTCCTATTTTCACTGGAGAAATGTTGGAGGGTATAGAGTTATCCCACGGCCAAGGCGACTGAAGGGAAGTTTTTTAATGTTTAATGTTTTATTATATTTTTATATATGTTGGAAGCTGCCCAGACTGGGCAACCCAGTAAGATGTGTGGGGTATAAATAGTAAAATTCTCATTATGGAATGGGACGTTCCTATTTTCATCAGAGGAAAGTTGGAGGGTATGTCACATTCCAAAGGGATCTCGAAAGACTTCAAGTTACCTTGTAAGCTCTGGGCCTCCCTCAGGACTTGCTGGAGCATCTCCTCTGCCTCTCTCATTTTCCTCTCCAGCTCTGCGTTATCTCTTGACTCTCCACCAGTAAGAACCTGAGAGGCCAGCACTTCAAGGCCCTGCAGTTGCTGGAGGTACTGGTCTACCTGGAAACAAGGTAGGAGAACTCTGTGAGCGAGGAACGGAAAGACATGAATACAAAGCATGCAAAGACTTGGCCAGCAGCTCCAGAGTCTTCAGAAATATGCAGTCTGGAAGATTCAAAACAGGTGCCTAAGAAGCTTCCAGTTCTAAATAATTAATATTTTAATGTTATCAGGTTATGATAACGATAATTTAAAAGAAGGTACTACCTAGATGTTGTCTTAAATATTTTTTATTGCATTTGTGCTCTGCTGTTCCTCCAAAGGATTGAAATAATTTACATGCAATTCCTAGGAGAATCCCATCCAAGACGTTTACTGGGACAGACCTGCTTGTTTGCTGGCTGGCTGGCTTATTTATATATTTATATTTATGTTTGACCAAACTGCGGGAGGCATTGGAAGACAGGAGTGCCTGGCATGCTCTGGTCCATGGGGTCATGAAGAGTCGGACACGACTAAACAATAACAAATTTATATTTATATTTATTGATTAAATTAATTTATATACCACTCTATACCCAGAGGTCTCAGGGCGTTTAGCATTTGTGCTTTCAGACCATTCTCCAGGAAGAAAATAGAATGAGCTTTATTTATTTTTTTAACCTTTTTGAGATTCATTAGTTCCAGTAAAACATGTCACGATTCATTGCAGATGCCCTCAATTAATCAGGCAGCAGATTACACTGTTTGCAAGGCCCCCATTTTAAAAGTTATTTTCACTAATTATGCAGTTTTATGCACACTTTCCCTAATGCATATTTTTGGTTGGAAAACTGCATTGAGAAATTCGGAGCAGTGTGAATTTCAAAGCATAGCTTTGTTTTGGTTTGCATATTGTTTTGGAATTAGATAGGCTTACATTAAAATGTGAACCAAACTCAATTTCTCCCCCATCTCCAGTGGGAGGTTTTGCATTAACAATCCTAGTTGTTCTGCACCCAAACAACAAAACAGAGAGCAGGGTGCTGGGTGGGGACATTTCATACACAATTGATAGCTATAGTCTTTGGTAACGAAAGTCCAAGAGGGAAAAGCCAACCTGAGTCTTCACTTGGTTGTAGCAGGCTGGACAACGGGTGTGTTCGCAGCTCCGCCCTTCAAACCCTGGCTTGCAAATGCAGCTCCCATCACTGTGGCACCGTGATGGCTCAGAACTCACAGAATTGCAATTGCAAGCTGCGTAGAGGAAGAAAAAGCATAAGGTCAGGAGCGGATAAACATAATGTATCTCAAAATGCATATTATCTCTCATATTTTCAAACATTAATTTGAAAAGTGTGGGATCAAGTCAGAGGGTGGGATTCACCTAACAAGGCCACATGCTACAACCTCCCAATAGAATTAGTAGTTTCTGTGTCTTGCCCTAACAGAGTGTTTGACTGACTTGCCAACAGATGCAGGAACTTCAACCATCTAGAGCAGGAGTTGGAAACCTCCAGATGTTGCTGTACTCCAGTTCCCATCAGGAGTCAGTCAATGATCAGAAATGATGAGAGTTGGATTCTAACTGCATCTGAAAGATCACATTCTCCGCATCCCTGATCAGCACTGGATTTAGGGCAGTGCATATGGTTCCCATGCACAGGGTGCTGAGCTGAGGTGGCACAAAACTAGGAAGATTAATAATTGAGAGGATCCATTTTGGGGCGCCCAATTTTGATCTCACACAGGGCACCATATTAAGAGAGATTACAAAGTCTGTCCCTGCCCTGATCTAAAGGCAGCTCCGCAGGTCACAGCTTTGTTAGAGAGTTACATTACCCACCCAGGTAAGGCATTTGGATGTGACAGTAGGAGTGATTTGTGTGAGCCGTTTTATCCCTGGAAGGGAAAGGTTTGTAAGCAGCTCTTTGACTCCCCCGATTGTTCCAAACCCAGTTTGGTTCAAATTCTTATAAAATCATTTGGGTGTGCATTGCTGGTAACAATGATGCCCTTGAAGCCAGCATTGACTTGCATGAGATGATGATGTATACCTCGGCATTTCTCTGCTGGGTTGATGGATAAAGGATTTCCAAAGAATCCGTCCTTGCACTTGCACTCTCCTGTCAAGTGGTTGCAAATCCCAGAAGCATTTGGGTCATCACTGCTACACTGGCATGGTTGGCAGGGACGTGCCTGGCCGTTCTGACCCAAGGGGTCGCCAAAATAGCCATTGGTACAAAGCTCACAGTGAGAGCCTGAGAAGAAAGGGAAGAAGGAAGGACAAGCAAATGATGCCTTGAACAAGCAATGCATGAACTGCCTCTGAACACGATGCTGGCAATCCTGAGCACAGGGTGCCTACAGTCCTGCTCCACCCCTAATTCCCACAATCCACTTATGAACTGTCCACAAAAATTGTTGCAAGTACCACAAATGGCACCGGGGGGGGGGGGAGAGGTTTCTCCTGGTTTAGTTGTGCTATAATGTGAGAGTGGCCCTCCAGACAGCTATGATGCAGTGACATTAAGCACCACATAACAACTGATAAAGTTGAATAATGTGTGGATGCTCCAGTACAAAGCTTCCTCGTGTGTACTTTTATTGCATCCATGTGATGCCACATTCAAAAATGCACCAGTCTGGAGGAGCCCTAACTCTCTGGGCCTGACTTCTGACTTTATCCCTTGACTACAGTTCCCTGGTGCAAATCCTGGTTCATCTTCAGTCTAGCTGCCTAGAGCTCAGGCCCACTGGCAATGACTAAATTTGATGAGAATCAGGAGGTAGGGAATGTGGATTTCATTATGGTCCTTCTCTTTCCCTGCCTGAGTCAAGGTCTGCCTGTGTTGGTGCCATGAGTTCACATGGCTAATGTGCCTACATGCAAAAGCATTCCTTCCACACTGAAAAACAGATGTCAGGGCAAATGTTATAATCTAGTCTTCTCCCTTCAATGCTAGTTTTATATGTGAATGGATAGTATATGGGTGCATTCCCACCCCCATTTTGGCAAAAACTCTTCCCTCTGTTCTCCATTATTTTTCTTTATTGCAGTGCATTTAATCATGATCCCCTACATCAGGCTTCCTCAACCTCGGCCCTCCAGATGTTTTGAGACTACAATTCCCAGCATCCCTGACCACTGGTCCTGCTAGCTAGGGATCATGGGAGGTGTAGGCCAAAAACATCTGGAGGGCCGAGGTTGAGGAAGTCTGCCCTACATGTTCTCTGAAACGGTACAGTACAGGCATAGCGAGGACCTGGGCCTAGAAATCCAAGTCTCCACAGAATATTGAAAAAGTGGTGGTGGGAAGTACAATTTGAAGGAAAGAAGTGGTGGGTGGTGGGGTAAAGGAAGCTTAACGATTATCCCGCACATGGCTCTTCCCCTGCAATCTCAGCACCCAGCTGAACGCTTTTCTTCAAGCATGCAGCTGGGAATCCCGATGGGGAGGGGCTGGGTGGACAAGGGGAGTGCAGAAAAGAGTTAAATGCCCCTCTCCCACATCCCATCTTACCCCTGCATATTTTTGCACAAGTGGTGGAGATTCAGGTTCACAAATCTGTGTCTGTCACGAACGTCTAGCCCTGGGACACACAGTGCACACAACACAGCTTTTGCTATGCTCCTGTCCTTCCTTAGGGAAAGAAAAGCTGGCCTCAGAAAGAAGAACATGCAGTCTGGTTAACCTTCTGAATATGGGCTTTACCTCCGGCTCCTGGAAGGCAATGACTGCAGATGACTTCCTGTGTCCCTGGCAGCACCGAACAGCCTTGGCCACCTTGGCACGGGCATGGCTGGCAGCTCTGTGGGCTCCAGGGGAAGCTGTAAAAACCAGTTGGGCAGGTGGCACTGCTTTCATCTCCAGAATAGCATTCTCCTGGATGGAGGCAGAAAGAGAAAAGAGCTGATTAGAGTGGAGCTTTACAATATATGTTTCACATTGCCTGAGGCTCTTTGCACACCTTGCCTTAGACCCCTGAGAGTCCTGGCTTTAAGGTTTGTTTCATTTGCATAGATAAATGTTTGAAAATATAACAGTAAAGTAAAGATTCTGTGCGGAAAAGGGGAACATTAAAGTAGAAGTTGGTGTGCAAGATCTGTCAATTTCAATTCCCCAAGTTCCTCATTCCTCCAACCTTAAATTCAGTTCTTTGCATTATGCCCTATAGACATTACAGCAAGAGCAGGGAATATCTGTGTGTGAGAGAGAGCTCATCCCACAGCAGTTCAATAATGGATAAAGGCCCCGGGGGGGGGGGGGACACACACATAATTATGGGGGATGAGGGCTCATCATGAAATCATCGGACAATCGCCAATCATTGGACAGCCTTATGAGGAATGGTTGAAGGAGCTGGGTATGTTTAGCTTGGAAAAGAGGAGACTGGGAGGAGATATGAGAGCCATCTTCAGATATTTCAAGGGCTCTCACATGGAAGATGGAGCAGGCTTGTTTTCCCCTACTCTGGAAGGTAGGACTTGAACCCATGGCTTCAAGTTACAAGAAAGGAGATTCTGACTAAACATCAGGAAGAACTTTCTGGCAGTAAGAGCTGTTCAGCAGTGGAATGGTCTCCCTTGGAAGGTTGTGGACTCTCCTTCCTTGGAGGTGTCTAAGCAGAGGTTGGATGGCCATCTGTCAGGGATGCATTAGCCAAGTTTCCTACATTGCAGAGGTTGGACTAGATGACCCCTGAGACCCCTCCCAACTGTACAATTCTATGATTTGTCAGTATGGGAGCTATTGAAATAAATGGGCTGCTGGTTTCAATGGGTCTAAGTGTGATTAACACTAGATATGACCCACTGCATCCAATCTGGGCCAGGCAGTGATAGAGAGGCAGAGACCTGCATCTCTGTGGCCCTCCTCCTGTGGCGGTGGGCCTTTAGACATTTCAGCAGCAGCACGGGATGTAACCCTGGGAAAGCATTTCCCACGCTGTGTTGCTCCAATGCCTGAAGGTTACCTCCATCCCAACAAATATCAACCCAAATCCCCTCCAGGACTATGTCTGCTGAGATTTTACCAGGAACTCTCAATGCAGAGTCAACTTCAAGACACGATGGACTGAATTTCCTTTCTGAAATCTTTAGAAGTCAACTGAGATTCTCAGGACTCAGAGGGTTTTCTCGTACACCATCCTGGTGGGGATCCTATCTATGCAACACAATCCATCACACACCTCCCCATGTGCACACAAGTTAGCAACAACATGGGCACTACGTACATCCTGAATGACTGCAGGCATATCCACATGTGCCATCCCAGCAAAACATTACTTTGTACATGAAGTGGGAGCTTCTCATGCCCATTCTTCCATCACATGAACAAGATCCCTAGCTGGATCACCGTGTAAAATGGCCCTAAGTGAGCTACTTGGTTTTTATATTAGAGACCTGCTTATTGCCCAAACAAATAAATAAACACTCTGTCTGTCCACAATAATAGGCTCTTTGACTGTGGTTGATCCTACCAGTATCTGGGTCACAGATTCCTCCTCCCTGGCAGTTGCAGAGCACACAGTCGCTGAGAGCACCGAGTCTAGCAGGATCCTCTCTCTTGTACCCTGGGGCACATTTCTCACAGAACTGCCCCTGGTAGCCAACTGGACAGACACACTGCTCCACCCAGGATGCTGGAGTGCCAGAGGTTGGCTGTGCCGAATCCAAAAGGACATTACGGAGGTACCCTGTGCCTGAGCAAAAAGAAAAAAGGAAGAACATTGCAGTGAATATCCCCAAGAACACAACATAATAAAATACCACATATCCCAGTATCTCAGCTGGATCATGTCTAAATCAGAACAGAGCTGACAATAGGGAGCGGATGTGGGGCACATCTACACTACCATGGTACATTTGTTTTATATCAATTTATCCATCAGTGCTTCCTGAAAAGCATCCTGGGAACTGTAGTTTGCTGACGGTCTTGGAATCAGATATTCTATTGTTCCCCCTGGGGGGTTGACAAAATGAGTTTAAAATAAAAAATTAAAAAATGGGCTCATGGAACTTTTTAGGAGTGACGTGGTGGCTTAGGTGCCTGCAGGTTCCACGCTGCCTGAAATGGCAGCATGGGACTTGCCTCTGCCTACTGCCTCTCCCTCTGCCGCCCTACAGCTGAGGAGGAGGCGGCGGAGAGGCTCCAAGCGCAGGAGAAGCTTGCCCCCCCCCCCGGCTGCAGGACAGCCCCCCGCACCAGGCACCTGAGCGGCTACCTTTGATCCTTCACAGAAATGCAATTTACCCGCAGAGAGGAAACAACTATAAAGTAGGGTTTATAAGAGAAGACAGAAACAGTAAAGTAATAAATAATCAGGAGAAATGTATATGATCCATTCTTTAGCCCAGATTTCACTATCCTACGCCCAACTCACTGTCTCCATAAGTGGCTCTGATCCGAAGAGCTGTCAGGTTCCCAATTAACTGGCGATACTCTTTGCCACTCAGCCTAGGGCTCCAGTTGCTGCTTGGGTGCTCATCCAACCTGAGTGTAGGAGGTGATGAAAGACACGAGAAGTTATATGAGCAGTCTCTGCATCACCATACTTGTGTACAAAATGCAACTAGGAGTGAATTTTAGACCCATGGAAGATTGCAGCACACGGCTGTTGAACTGCTGATCACAGGGAAAGGCCAGAACTGCAAATCAGATGGAAAACAAGAACACTCTGTGACCAAGGAAGCACAGAATGTGGAAAGGAGCATAAAATTCAGTTTACTCCAAGATTCAATGAAATCAAAAACAAATACAAAATTCAGCATTTAGGTCTTCACAAACAGTGCTTTCTTCAGTAATCCTAGGGTGCAACTTGCGTTTCCTTAATGATATTTTTTACCATCAGAACATGTTGCAACGTGAGCAACAATGGCTGGAATTCAACATCACACTCTTCCAATCCTGTCTGCGCAAGTATTCCAGTTTGCCAGACAGAAGAATGTTGTTCTGGGGGTTCTCCTGACCACCCCTTGAGCTAATTTCAGGGGATGCAGGGGGCACAAGGGGGAGAAGCACTGTTGTGCAAGCAAGAGTCCTTGTGCAAGGCTTCCACTGAGAGGGCTCATTAGCATTAGAATCCATCGCAATAAAAGTGATTAAAGACAACTTAAGTTAAAAAGAAATAAAGTGGCCTTATGGACCAGGAATTGATGTAGGCAACTTCTCTGATTCAGGTAGCTTAAATGGGCTTTGCTGATGTTATTTTCATGACTTGAAGGACAGCAACTAGATCTTCCTGGGTAAGCAATAGCCAAAGCCAGCAGTTTTCAAACTTTCCATCTTCTTGGAACACTTTCTGTGCTGACAACTTGCTGCCCATCGAAGAGGATTCTGGGACGTGTACAAGGTACACATTCAGTTCATGTCAGACACTGGTTAGGAATTGAGGGCCTCAACTCTACTTTGTGTGAACTGAGAGCATGATCTAAGGATGCATGTGCAAATCTCCAGAAGTTGCACGTTGCAGATTGGTAGCAGAGGGCAAGCTACTTTTGAGGAAAACTTGTCTATCATTGCTTTGAGTTGCACTGGAGTGTTTGACATATGAGTGTTCTCTTAAGTCCTAAGCATTTTACCTGAATGTATAGGTCCTGCTGGCTTTACAAGGCAACATCCTTCCATTAGGCATGAGTGGGGCAGTGATTCTTAAACCAGCTCCTTCCAGTATTACATCATGCTGTGAAGGGTGACGTCCAGGTCGGTTCACACGATAATCAAAAGACAGCTTCTGGCCGTAACTCAGTTGATGGTTCCCAAGGAACCTGGCTACAAAATACACACAAAAGAAACACAAGGTCAAAATGTGGCATTTGCAAGTAAAATGCAAATGTGACCTGCACCACTGTAGACCTTGATTTGACAGGACTAGCCTTCGGTATAACAGGAAGGAGAATTTCAAAGGACCCCATCAATACCTATGACCTAAATCCCATTGATATCAGCCTGCTTGAACATGAAGACTAACAATGGAATGCTTCAAAATTTGCTCTCAACTAAGGTCATTGTGGATGACACAAGTGAAAGGGCCTTTTCTATGGTGGCCCCACAGCTCTGGAACTCATTCTCATCTGACTACCAGAAGGCTAACACACTCCAATTCTTTCCAAAAGCTTTGAAGACCTGTTTCAGGTGGGTTTCATGTGACTGACTGCTATGAAGGCTGAGATGTGTTTCCTTTAATTGTTTTGCTATGAAAAGTTTGCTTTGTATCATGGACTGCATATGGATTTTTAAAATTAATGTTGGTTTTCTAATTTGGGGGATTGTTGTAGAATTATATTGTGTTTGTATATTATGTATTGTGGATAGTGTACTGAATCTTTATTATGTGAACCACCATTCATGAATTGAACTCAGACGGGTAGCCTGTAAATATCTGGAGAAAAAAGAAAAAAGAAAAAAAATGTGGCTGTCAGTGGGTTCTAATTTTATGGTTAAATGCTTGCTTATTTATTTAATTTGAATCCCACTTATCAGATAAAAATCTTTCAAAGCAGCTCATATCAACCAAAATGATTCAGTGCACACAGGTGCATTTTGAAGATTTATTATTTCTGTTTTGAGAAGGTCATCTTTGCTTTCCCGTACTCCTTAATTGTATTCATTTTAAGGACGCTATAGACATCTTTTTGGGTATTGTTTTCTTGTAGATATTCTCATCAAATTTGCAGATGACACCAAACTGGGGGGCCGGGTAGCTAATGGCACAGAAGACAGAATCAGAATTCAAAATTACTTTAACAGATTGGAGAACAGGGCCCAACCTAACAAAATGAATTTCCATAGGGACAAATGTCAGGCTCTGCACTTAGGCAGGAAGAACCAGATGCAGATAGGATGGGGGACATCTGGCTCACTAGCAGTACACATGAAAAGGATCTAGGGGTGAATCACAAGCTTAACATGAGTCAACTGTGTGATGCAGCAGCAAAAAAGTGAAAGTTATTCTAGGCTGTATTAACAGAAGTATAGTGTCCTGGTCAAGGGAAATAACAGTACCACTATTCTACCTTAGTCAGACCACACTTGGAATACTGTGTCCAGTTCTGGGCACCACAATTTAAAAAGGATGCTGACAAGCTGGAACGTGTGCAGGGGAGGGTGACCAAGATTATCAAGGGTCTGGAAACTTAGCTTTATGAGGAGTGCTTGAAGGAGCTGGATATGTTTAGCTTGGAAAAGAGGAGACTGAGCTATGATAGCCATATCTTAAGGGCTGTCACATGGAGAAAGGAGCATGCTTGTTTTCTTCTGCTCTGGAGGGTAGGACTCGAGGCAATGGCTTCAAAGTATAAGAAAGGAGATTCTGAATATTCAGAAACACTTACTGACAGTAAGAGCTGTTTGGCTGGGGAACAGACTCCCACAAGAGGTGGTGGACTCTCCATCCTCTCCATCCTTGGAGGTTTTTAAGCAGAGGTTGGATGGCCAACTGTCAGGGATGCTCTAGCTGAGATTCCTGCATTGCAGGGGGTTGGACTAGATGACCCTTGGGTCATCTACAATTACATGATTCTAGACATGAGGAAAGTGACATTCCAGCCATGGATTTCAGGATTTATGGGTGGGGGTAGGATATAATGAATGGATCTATTGCAGGGGTCAGCAACCTTTTTCAGCTGTGGGCTGGTCCACTGTCCCTCAGACCATGTGAGGCCAGACTATATATTTTTTGGGGGGGGGTGAACAAATTCCTATGCCCCACAAATAACCCAGAGATGCATTTTAAATAAAAGGACACATTCTACTCATGCAAAAACATGCTGATTCCTGGACCGCCTGCAGGCCAGTTTAAGAAGGCGATTGGGCCACATCTGGCCCACAGGCCTTAGGTTGCCTACCTCTGATCTGTTGTCATAAAACCATGCCATGTTTTCTGGAAATTCAACCTAGTCTTGTAAGCACACTTTCAACACACATTTAAAATGGGGCAGAAGGAAATTATCCAGAATTAAGAGCAATTCCTGTTCTAACTTGAGTGTTAGAGTTGTCTGCAAGCTAGCAAGAATCTGTACTAGGATTTCTGCATGCAAGTGGACCAACAGGCATCAATATGTGAGACATTTGATAATTGTGGCAAATAAATAGTGAAGTTCAATAGTCCTTGTGGCTGCTCCTGTTCAGCATGGGATATGGAAACACACACCTGGAGCCATGAAATAGATAGGATCTGGCCTTCTTGCTGCCACATAAACTTCTTTATAATGTGAAGACCACTGGAGCTGCAAAGGAGACCCATTTCCTTGAGCTTGCCATCCGTCATCACCTGGAATACAAGGAAACCAACAGCTAATTAAAATGAGCTGGAAATCCAACCATACCCAACGATTCAGGAAATATGACTGGAGGAAAGAAGCAACAAACAGCTCTTTTCATATTACACAGTCCGAAGGAAAGATATGCCATGTCTCCAAGCTCATGACAGACTAGGAAAGCACTGTATCACAAGAGGTCACAGGACCCATTTTTACAGTAAGTAGAATCAGGCAGCAAAGCTTTCTGGATTGTAGCAAGTACTTCAAGTTGCCGGTGAGAGTGCTGAGCACTTGAATATTGACCCATGAAAAGAAACCTTCCCCACACCTAGAACACCCCCACCTTGGGGTGGGGGTGGAGAATCAACCTCGTCTTCTCCCCAATATGCTCCTTTTCTATCTGCAATACTTTGGGGGTGGGGCATTTCTGACATGCACTCTACAGCTGCAATGTGCATTCCAGAGCTGGAGAAACACAACAGTTTTCTAGAGAGATGAAGGTAGTGTGCCAGAGCCAGCATTGTCCATTATGTGCAAACACTGATTATCATCTGTGCCAACATGTTTCTATACTGCATCAGAAACCTCCACAACCTGTTTGACCAAAGATGGCCATGGGAGGACAAGAGAAAGCTGTGCAGCCACCATGCTAAATAATGTTTCTGTCATTCCAGTTGCATCTCCTTAAAACTCTTCTGATCCTAGAAAAGCTATTCTAAACTTTCTGATTGTATAAACTGGAACAAAGTTAGCAATTTTGACCCAAGGCCAGTGCTAAGTATTTTTGCATTCCACACAAAGACTCAGATCCATTTGTCTTCTTCCTTTACATTATGACTTCATCACTGATTCAGCTCCTTTGCCATTTCCCAGCTGCTTTGCTGGTTCAGAAAGAATATAAGTGGAACCACTTTCTTAGGCATTTTGCATAAAGATCACCCAAGTCTTCCCAGATCATGTTACTGACATAATATTATGCTGCTGATTTTAAGAAATAAAGCGATTGTTTAGTCCTATTGCTCTGCTTCTCCATTTGGCAAACCTCACCACCAGCAAACAAACTTCAGTCCGGTAATGGAGGCAGCTAATGTTTCCCTGCATCAATAGAAAATGTAAAATTGAAAGTTCGGTGTAACACCAAGTGTATTGATCATGAAAAAGAGAAAAGGCAAACCCCAGTGAAGTTTTTTACCTTGCTCGAAGGTGGAGGTGATTTTATGGATGCTATAATTTTCTGCGCTGGAACATGTTGTTGAGTGCCCATGACAGAAGCATCGAGAACAGCCCTCTGGGTTTCCTGCATCTAGGTTGTAATAGCCCTGCTTGCAACTGTGCAAGAGATAAATTAACACACCACACAATTATTCTCTTGTGCATTCATATTCACACACAGAAAGCTGACATACTGAATTTCCAATCCGGATACCTCTGCTTTATCTGCTGTGACAGGATAGCTGCATCCTCCAGCCAATAAAAACTTGATGGCTCTGATGTCAGCCATTACTACAAATCCTGTGCTACCATTCTTGTTCAAGTGATGACTTCATGACAGAATGACTGGCACTCACCACACACACAAAGGCACCGAGGTAACTGCTCCAGAAGGTACAGAAACAGGATTCTAGCCTGTGCTATAATCTGGTGAAAATGTGGATTTGAGAGTAGATACACACTATTCATTTAAAGCACATCAAACACACAGTTAAAGTAAAAAAGGTTAAGGACCCCTGGTTGGTTAAATCCAGTCAAAGGCAACTATGGGGTTGTGGCGCTCATCTTGCTTTCAGGCTGAGAGAGCCGATGTTTGTCCACAGACAGTTTTCTGGGTCATGACTAAACCACTTCTGGTGCAACGGAACATCATGACAGAAATAAGAGCACACAGAAACGCCTTTACCTTCCCATCGCAGCGGTACCTATTTATCTACTTGCACTTTGACGTGCTTTCGAACTGCTAGGTTGGCAGGAGCGGGAGCTCACCCTGTCACAGGGATTTGAACCACCGACCTTCTGATCAGCAAGCCCAAGAGGCTCAGTGGTTTAGACCACAGCGCCACCCACACTGTTAAAGTATATTACTTCCCCAAACGCACCCGAGGAACTGTAGTTTCCCACACAGAGCTATAATTCTCAGCAACAAACTGCAGTTCACAGGATTCTTTGTGGGGTGTCATGAGATTTAAATGTGTGCTGGATGTGCTTTTTAATGTAAGGTGTGGATCTGTGATGTGCTGAGCTCAGTGCAACTTGTGCACATGCCATTTTGGCCTCAGCATGGACTCAAACAGTGACGTGAGTCAGGGCTGCCATTAAATCAGAAATAAAAGTGTTACGCTTTTTTACTTTCCATTACTTATTTGTCAGTGGCCCATTGTGGGGTACCACTACGCCAGACCCTTCAAGTGTCCCAATTTTCCAGGGACGTCCCTGATTTAGAGAAGCTGTCTTAGTTTCTGATTTGATCCTGGAATGTCCTGCTTTCCCTTAGAACGTCCCTATTTTCATTGGGGAAATGTTGGAGGGTATGGAATTATCCGACCCCTGAGCTTCATAAAGGCAATCCTGTATAGGGAAGTTTTTTTTAACATTTAATGTTTTATATATATTGAAAGCTGCCCAGAATGGCTGGGGCAACCCCGTAAGATGTGTGGGGTATAAATATTAAAATTATCATTATGGAATAGAACGTCCTTATTTTCATCAAAGAAATGTTGGAGGGTATGCTATGCTGCTTTCCAGATTAGCACAGAAAATTCCAGTTATCATCAGTACCACAACTAATGACATAGCAGTGCCCACATTGCAAAGTCAGTCTGTTTTACTAGCCCATCATGCACTGAACTGGCTATGTAATAGGCTTAGGTTGGGTTTGCTGTCAACTGGCTTTCCCCTCTGGTCAGCATGTATAGTGCCTGTGGTTTTGGTATGAGCAGGACCAAACCTACCCTCACCTGGTTTAGCTGGTCAGTCAAGTCAAAGTTGTTCCTGACACATGCTGATAGCTTCTAGAAGCCACAGGTGAGAGGTGAGTGCAGGCTGGGAATCACAGGGGGACCAAGTATCCCAGAAGGAGTGTGACGTATCCTGCACCAGAGGTACTACCCCTCCCTTAACACCCCATACATGCCAAAGCAACTAATACAAATGCAAAAATAAAATAAAAAAAGATGTTTGAACCAGCACACAGCAAAAGGCAAGAATGAAAGGAAGGAATAATACGAATGGAATGGAGATTGGGGTTAAGTGGGCAGAAGAGGCAGGAGGATGGGGAAGTGCAAGGATGAAGGCTGAAAGTTGTATAGCTGTGCATTGACTGAAAACCCCCTTCCTGGCTTCTGAAGCTCTGTTCTGGCCAACCAGACACCACAGACCTACATTTCCAAATATCACAGAAGACACATTGCTTTCTCAGCGGAAACTGAAGTTCTCAGTATCCAAAACACTGGCACTAGATTCCACATTCCATGCTTGCACGCTGAACTCAATCCACATAGCCTCCATTTCTGAGTCAGAGAGAAAGCTACATTTCTGTTGGGTTTGTATGCTAAGTGAAAGAGCAACTTGAGCTACCAAGTGGATTCCTTGATCATGACAACTCTGAGCACCATGAAAACATTTAGCCACGCAATCTTTGTGCACGCACCTGCTACATCGCTCTCCTTCAACAGCTGCCTTGCAGATGCAACGTCCTGAAACACACTGGCCCGCGCTGCCAGCTGGATCACAATCACAATTCCTGAGAAAATCAAAGGACCATTTTCAAATGAAGCTCCACACTCCTCATTGGAGCACATTAGCCAGCAACAAACAGCTCCACCGACCCAACAGCACTTACTGTATTTGCCCAGCAGCTCTGCAGCCAGATTCTGAGAAGGAATGGAAATTGTGCTGGCATCGGTCACATTTATCACCTGTCACACCAGGTTTGCAGTGGCACCGTCCCTGGTTATCACACTGTACACTGAAAGAACCTGTGAAGAAGGAGTAGTAGAGACAGCAATCGGGTCAATATTTATGATTCTCATCAGGTTTATAGCAATTCCAAGGGAACTCAAGGAGAGTTGCTGCAGTAGTCATTCAGTTCCATTGTGCAAAGTTCCTCTCCTGCTTGGTTTGTCATGACTGGCACATTGCTGAACTACTCAGGCACACTTCGTTTAAAAAGTTGCTTTGGCATGTACAAATATGATGCTCTTCTGCAGTATGAGATAGGCTGAAACCTGGTTTTGTGGAATATTGCCAGAAAAGTGGCAGTGGTTCAGGTTTGAATTGGTAGACTCTATTGCTTGGAGGTTCTTCAAGAGAAGCAGTTTGTTCCTCTGCCCCCAAAATATCTACCCAATCTATAAATTTGTAAATAAACTGATTATTACAGAGGCAAAGCAAGGGCCAAACTAGAAATGATGCTAAACTTGTAATCAAATCAGTTTTTAGAACAAAATTAATAATTTTTTGTTGGGACTGGTATGTGGGGAGGAGATGGGTAACACTTTCCTCCTTTGCTTCAGGTCTGATGAAAATCACTCCCCATAACTCACTCTCTCTCTTTCTGTCACGCACAAGCACACACACACACACACACACACACACACACACCATGAGCCCCTGGAGGGAAGTATCCACTGGTGCCAATGAAGGCTTCTTTCCCAGAGGTAATAGCAGGACCAGACTACTTTTGTCAGGACCACAGGAGGAGAGGAAAGGACTAAATGTCCCTGCATGCTGTGGTCTTGATAAAAATCAACTGACATGCCTGCAAGTGGCATTATCAGCATCACAATTACTTTGGCCCTAAATCTCCATTGCTTTCTTCCAGAAGGGAAAAGGACCTAGAAAGGCTGTCCTAAAGTTCATACAGCTCAAATAAGGGGAAGCACAAAGCAGCAATCTTCTATTTGCACAGACAAAACCTGTTAAGTATAATTATTTAATTGTACGTTGAACTATCAAATAACTCTGTATATGTCTGGATGTGTACTGCTAAAAGCTCAATTCCTCTGAGCTAAACATTGGAGCTGCAGAGAGCCTAATAGCCAGTGGTTTAAGTAGGGCTGTCACGAGGTATTTAACTTAGATCACATGAGAAATAATTGTATTACAGGTCTCCATTTTGGGTGTATTACTAGCTCTTTGCTCTAAAGCAGCTGAGGAGAAAAGATGTGCTAATGATTCCCTCTAGGAAAACAGCTAGGCTGGAATGGAGGAGAGGCAGAGCTTTGTTCTTTAGATAGAAGAAATTCATATTTCTAAGATATGCTAAACTTGTGCTGGGATCAGCACATTATATTATGCAAATCTCTAGATGTAACACTTTAGCAGATGTACATCACTGGCACCATTTTTGCCTCACAGCTGACCAAAGATATCCAGTGCTATTTCTGCTCCACAGGAACAATCAATGCACAAAGTGACTACATAGTAAACTTTGCCAAAAGGGAGACGGATGCTGCCTATTTTTCCTTCTGGCCCAAATAACCAAGAAAATTCAAGCTACGTAGGCTCTGTACGCATTACCGGCTTAGAACACAGCTAGGTTGTTTTGTTTTGCTTCACATTCAGATTGAAGCTGGTTTTGGGAAAAACACATCAGAATGTGGTATCTAGTTAAAAACAGCAATAGGATAGAAGTGGATTGTGGTTAGCATTATAAACCTCACTGAGGCCTTGAGGCCTACCTTCGGGTCCCCATTCCACAATAACAAAAACAAGTTTTTGGAGTCCTACAGACCTGGCATGCTTCCAAACAGGTAATGTATTGAGCATTCATCTTCACTTATTTGCAGGGTGGTTAGATGATGTTATGGCAAAGCAAGTGTCACTCCACATTTCTCAGTGGATTCCACCTTCACTTTCCTTATTGCAGAAAGTCCAATCTTTCAGGCAAGCAGTTTGTTGCACAAGGCGTCTTAGCCAACTATGAGTGTGCAAGCTGGATTTCCACCTGAAAATAGCAACAGTCTGGAAGTGCCCCTTGATTGTGTTCAGGAGAACAGCTGCTTTTGGCTTCTCCTCTCCCTGATCTCATTCAGAGGAACTCAACTCAGGGTATGCACTGGAACCCCAATTCTCCACGTAGTGAGTGGCTGTAAGGGTGCCAGAACATTTGTGACAACTGGCTTATTTTGCCAACATATTTGGGTTGAGTGTAGACAGAGATATTCAGCAGTAGAACCACACCAGACGCTGCAGTCCCATAAGATTGGGGGTGAGGGGCTTTCCCACCTGCCCCTCAGTCCCTGCATACCTTTGGGGTTGCAGCTGCAGGATACACAACGTCCTCGAGGTTCCTGGCGGTAGAAGCCCTCCTTACACCGCTCACAATTATTTCCCTCTGTGTTTTCGGCACAGTTGAGGCACCGGTATCCATTTCCTGTTTGTCTGAGCAGCTCCATGTCGAACATGCACTGCCTGGATTTCCCATTGCAATGGCAGGCTGAAAGCAAAGAGAATAGTTCGCACCATTCAAGAACAACAACCCATTTGGCAGTTCCAGAAATTGGCTCGCCATTTTTACTTGATGATATACATTTAAAGGCCACCCTGTTGATGAGCTCAGATCCAAGCTACGCAAGGTGCAGTGACTAGTCATGCAACATTAGCCTGATTCCCTCATCACAGAAAACTGGCTGGTCCATTAGTTCCAGTGTTGACAGGCCAGCTTCCTCAGCATGCTAGTTTTCTATATTTGGGTTTTTAAAAGCAAACCACTGCAACCTAAGATGTTAATGTGAATGCTTTGGCCGAGATTCCTGTCTTGCAGGGGGTTGGACTAGATGGCCCTCAGGATCCCTTTCCAACTCTACCATTCTATAAGAACTGTGCCCTGTGGTTATTTCAAATGGAGTAGGTTGGGCTTAAGGCACTGCCCTGCCTTCTCTTAGTCTTCATTTCTCTCACTCTACTCCACTGCCCTTTCAATTTAACACCAGCAATTCAACTCCCTTTCAGCCAAAATGAAACGGGAGCTAAAACAGCAAGAATATTAGTGATGGAAGGAAAGAAACACAGATGAGGAATTAATATGGAACCAGGAAACTCTTGTCACTCTTATTAGCAATATCATTAATCCCACTTCACAGCATATGCATAAGCAAAACCAACAACTCATAACTCAAGGTTAGAGTCACGAACAAGATCAGCAAAGAAGCATTGTCCAGAGAACAAATCCCTCTTTCCATCTCTTCCTATACATTTTGTTTATTATAAAAATGTCTATACCATATTTTACAATAACAGCCTATCATAAAATTTAAAAATAAAAATAGCAAGTTGGTGCTGATATCCAAAAGCAGTGTTGGCATTGCATCCTACAAAGGGGACTTTGTTCCAATAAATATGCTAGTCTTTAAAGTGTCTTGGCCTGGAAGCAGAAAGAGAAAGTAGCTGATGAGGAAAAACCAGAAGCAGCTGTGCCACGAGGAGAGGGGTCTGCAGCCTACTCTGGTACTTTGAAAAGTGCGCCAGTGGACCGAGGGGGTCATTCTCCATAGCTGTTGCAGCAGGACTACGTTTTAAAATACTGTAATCTATATGAACTAATCAATCTGGGTTAAAATAAAACAGAACATGAATTTTATATTTATACTGTATTTAAAAAGATTCTCATGCTGAAACAACAGGGGAGGTGTTCCCTCAGTCCCATATCAAAAGCCTCCCTGTTTCTATGGCAAGCAACTTGTTTCCCAGTTTCTTCCATTGACAGGACTTCTCTAAGAAAGGAGAGTGAGCCCCATGACCTGCTCTGTAACAAGGAAAATACGGCTCCCCTAGGAGAGACTCCCAGGCACGATGGATATTCTATCTTTAGACCTTGGAGAATTCACGGACTTGAATGTCTCTCTCTTCCTACGCTCAGGACCCTCTATAATAACATCTGGACCCCAGGAACAAAACAGCAGCAAACCCAGAGAGAAGCAACCATGAGAAAGCAAAGGGTTTAGCCTGTACCTGGAGGATTTCCTTCCCCAAGCTCTTCCCCGGGCTGGCTGTTAATGCACCAGGAAAGGCGGAGCTGCAACGCCGGCTAGAAGGCTGCGGGCGGGCCAAGCTACGTTTCCCAGAGTTAGTGGGAGAAGCCATGAAACAGGAACAAGTATAAACCGGTACAGGTTGGCAGTGTAGCTGTGCCCTAAGGCGTTAAGGTGAATTTTATGGATCTACCAACATTTTATTAACGCGGTTTATTTTTAGTACTGAATTTCTGTTTTCCAAGCACGGGATTTAGATTGCCTCCCCCACCCCACCCCCATGTTTGTTTGCAGAGTACCAACAAGCCCAGAAGAAAGCAGAGGGAAATTTTCATAGCCAACCTCTTTGTAATGAATACTACGGAGAACCATATACTTAAGAATGACATCTCCGTCACCTACAAAGTTTGCAGAATTATCATGGGTGTTCCAGTGCTTTTGCTAGTCTCTGAAACACCCAGAGCTGCTCTCCACAGCTGCTCCTGCTAATCCTCAGCTTGGCTGCCAACACATACGATCAGGTTCAGGCACGACACTTGCATTCCGAGCACCTGAGAGGTTCCAACGCATCAGCCGGATCCTGGCTCTGCCAAGGCTGCCAAGCCAAGTAGAGCTGATCTCATACCCTTCAACGCTCACTCAGCAGCACCTGGAATTTAATCAGCCCCCCCTGCCCCCCAGGCAGAGCCTCAGCCCATGTGCCCGTCAACAGCCTCCTTTGCTTTCCCAGGCTCCTTCAATGCCCCATCTAGCCACGCCTGAAGTTAGCTTGTGTGGGAGCCCTCCCATTACCGCAGAAGTGGGTCCTTCCCTGCTTTCCCAGTATCTCAGGCTCAAATAGCATGCTGCAAGGAATTCTGGGTGTGTGTTCCTCCACATTTTATTTTAAAAAAACAAATCATCTCAGCATGTCTCAAAATGACTCAGAGGACAGGAAGACGTGGTACGGCTTCTTAAACCTTAAACCCAAGTAGGGCATTGCCTTTTTAGGCATACACTGAAAACTGTGGTGTGTGATTGAGACAAGTGTCTACGTTGCACAGGTTACTGAGGGCCAAACTAGATGTTTCCTTAATTATGGAGCATATAGCTATGTATTCCTGGAGTGTGAGCGCTGCTGCCTGCTGAGAGCGGCAAGGAGCCACAGGTGAGAGCTGAGTGCAGGCTGGAGACTATAGGTGGATAAACTACCCTAGAAAGAGCATGACATGTATCCCACCAGAGGTGATACCCCTTGTGAGAGTAGCTGATGGGTCTCAAACCCTCAGTGAGTTAGGGACTTCCCCTGCAGGCAAAGTGGATTGGGAGGGTGAGACCAATGGGTCTAACAGTCAAGAAGGCAGTTTCTAAATGTGCTGTGTAGAGGGAAGTGAGGAGCAGGTGAGGCTCATCCACCTGGGAAGGTAGCCCATCTAGGAGAAAGAAAACTCTGACCTTAAACCTCTGCTGCTTTGGGAGAAGAAAAGGCTAAGGAGTAAACCCTACACAAATCTGGAATGGAGTCCCCAAGTCAGTTGGATGGCATCTTGTCTGCCTCCTTCTGGCAACTCCTGCAGCCAGGCTGGTGCCAAACGTATTGCTCTGCTTTCCTTTGGACCACATGGGGGGGGTCTTGTCATCTGGGTGGCCCAGGACCTCTAGACACACTGCCCAGACTTATGCCCCGGGGAGGTCACCAGGGCTGGTAACACAGTGGTATGATTTCACCCCCAGAAGCATACTCCATTGTCTCTTGAGACAGACAGATGCCAACAGGCTATGCATATTGTTTTCTTAAATAATTACTGGCACGGGTGAGACAGTTCTTACTGGGAAGGCAGCAAGTGAGAGTGGGAAAACTTCTCCTCATTCTTCCACCCTGACTGGACCAGAGATTCTCTCCCTTCTTAGGAGCTTGGGGGGGGTGAAGAAGAGGTTTGCAACTTAATCACAAAGGCTACTTCTGTTAGGGAAAAGCAGTGTTTGGAGCGAGGGACTTTCAGTGGTGGACTAGTACAGGACAGAGAAACTAGACTCCCCCTCCCCACATCAATATCTGCTGCAGCTCTTCCCCCACTTGCTGGTGGAACACAAATGCTCTCTAGGTGGTTATTTGGTGTGGGGAGAGGGGGACTTTGGCTTCAAAGCTTATGCCTAAGGCAAAAGTAATGATAACTGAATCTAAATGAATACCAAGAAAGAACACTGGTCTTTGTCTTCCTTCTGTTTAAGGGAGGTGGGTATTTACACAAGATGAAGAAATTGACTAAGTTCACAGATAGCATTCTAAACGATGGTTTGCAGTGCACTAATCACAGATTAATCTGTTCAGCATTAGTCCATTCAGACATCACACCAAGCCATAAATAAGAAAATCATGGTTTGCAATGCCAGCTCAAAACCAGCTTTCTGATTTGCCAGCCAATCACAAACCACATTTCGTAAATGTAGCTGTCAGGCTAAACCATAGCAAAGCTTGCTTTGTTAAATTCTGTGTCATATCTAAATTAACTGACTCTCATGTTGTGTCTCAGTTGCTATTTTATATAAAGACCACTTTAAACCACAGCATCTTAGTTCTCACTGACGGGGTGGTAAATATATTGTGGGGGAAAAGAGTTGCACCAATTCAGCCTGCAGATGCGGAGAATCCCATGACTGAAGGCTTCTTTACACTTATCTAGTACCGTCTGTTATTTTCCTATGTAGAAGGAATTCTTTTGTATGAAAGAGCATTTAGTCCTGTGAGTCTTCACTTTTCTTCCGGAGTGGTGAAATTCAGACACAGGTTTACCCTCCCAGTGAGAGAAAGACTTGACACTCTTTGCACATTTATTTTTCCTAACTTAAAAAAGCCTAATATGGCAATGACTGCTGATTAGATTGACCAACACATATAATTAGCACCGCATAGCAATTTTCCTAGCCAATAGCTCAACTTGCTTACAGATTACATCATCCAGTCTTGCCTTGAATCTGCTGCTGCTGTTGTTTTCTCAATGCTTTGTGTCTGTCAATAGCCTCTTTGGAGGCAATTACATCACGATAAGCGTGTCTGTAACTGCATGTGTTTACACAAGGTAATGTCACACTTCTTCCCAGTCTGATGCCTGTGAAGTTTCTTCACATAGCTTTTCTGAATGAGATTCTCAGTGCTGAGATGGGCTTTCACAATAAAACTTTAGATATGTCCAGGACTGGTTGGACACAGAGGAACCAGCTGGGGAAGGAAGGCTCAGAGGCCAGGGAGTGGTGGTGGGACAACAATGAGCAGTCACATGGAGAAGAAAGACCTGGGGGGGAGGTGTCAGAAACTGAAGGGGTAACAGGGCTTAGTGAGCAAGAAGAGTCTGTGGCGGAGGGAATTTCAGACTCAGAAGGTGGAGCAGGAGAGAAGGGAGGCCGAGAGGCAGAGAGGAGTCAGGCTGGTGAAGAGACACGTGTCTCCCCCTGCTGCTGCGACAGACTCCCCTCCCCGCTGGTCTCTCAGAATGAGGTGAATATAAACTGATGGATTTGAGAGAAATTGCATAAAGGAAGAATTGGGGACCGAATTAATCCTGGAAGGGTAAGCAAGATACAGGTGCTGGGAGGGGACAGGTCAGCAGCAATGTGTTGGAGGACAGAGCTGGATGTGACCTGCACCTCCTCAGCCAGCCCTCTGCCCTCAGGTGCAGCAGGTGACACTGTCTGGCTCCAGTGCTGAACTAAGACTAAGAACTAAGACTGAAGTAAGATGCAACTGCCAGTATGCTTGGCTTCTGTATGTGGAATGAGGGAGCACCATTTTGTTCTCAGGCCTTGCAGCCAAGCTCCAAAAGAAGGGGATCAGCCGTGCCTGCTCTGCCGCTATGGGAAAAGAGCCTTCTGAAGTAAGATGTAAAGGAACTTGCCTTATTCCCCCCCCCCTTTTTGAGATAATGTGGAAAGATGAATTCGGTACTACACCGTCAGCTTCCCACATTGCTACTAAGGCACTAAACATCTTGGCAGGCAAGTGGGAATGCTGCCTTTTTTACCTTCCATTTTTTAATGCTGGGCAGTGTTCTGGGGTCAGTGCTTTCCCTTCTGCTCATTCAGTGAGAAGGACTGATGCATTTATAGACCTGAAGCTGTCAAAGCCAAAGATGTCAGACACAAGCAGGCTGTTATTTAGTGCTACTTTCACCTCAGTGCACCTGGAACATCCGAACTTAAACCAACTGAATTTTGATGTAGTAAAACAACTGAAGGTGGTCACAAGCTCCTTTGTTTGTGTTGGGTGGGCAAAAAGAAAAGGTAACTCCTGTCATTTCAAGGTTCTTTCCTAGTGCATAAATATACATAACGGATTTAGATAATATTAAGCGTTAAGCCCCTTATTCTGTCCCCTTTTCCACTCCTTCCTATTCAGACCTATTTTCCCTGCCTCTTGGTTCAAGAGCTTGCTCCCATTATCTCCAAAATTTCTCTGATGAAAATAGGGACATGCAACCATACAAAATGACCACACCTTGTCATTTTTACCCCGCTCATCTGATGGGGGTGCCCCAGCCACTCTTGGCGGCTTCCAACATGTATATAAAAACATAATAAAACTATAGAGGGCTGTCTTCAGATGTCTTCTAAAGGTTGTATAGTTATCTCCTTGGCTCAGGGGTTACATAACTCCATACCCTCTGATGAAAACAGGGACATCCTACCATACCCTCCAACATTTCTCTGATGAAAATAGTGATGTCCTAAGAAAAAGCAGGACATTCCAGGACCAAATCAGAAACCAGGATGGCTTCTCTAAATCCAGGACTGTCTCTGGAAAATAGGGACACAAAGGGTCTGTGTTCCCTGTCCAGATTGGTCATCTTAGACCTCCCATTTGCAAACATTCCAACTCTAGAACACAAAAGAAGTCAGTGTTCTGTAACCGCACAGAAAGTTCACTCTTCACTGGGTTGGATTGTACTCCCTCCTCATATTACCATTGCTAAATATATTAGTTTTCCCCCTAAATATTTTTTGCACTTCTGCAAACCTTGAGGTCTTCCCAAGGCTGATACTTCCCTCTTTACCATGGATGGTGCCATGTGGGCTAGATAAACATCTACATTTGGGATAATAAGTTCACTACTGGCATCTATGATTCCTCATGCTCTACGAGTTCAGTGTTGGTTATAATTCCCTCTCCCCTGAGATCTATTTTTTCCTGCGGCAGCTGTGTATGGATGTGTGTGTGTAGATTTGCACATGTATGTGCCATGTATGTTGTTAGCATCTGGCTATCTCAAGAGATAATGGAGTGTGCCTCTGGGGGTGATGTCAAACCACTGAGTTACCAGCACTGAAGTGACTTCCCCAGGATGCAAGCCTAGGTAGTGTGTATGGAGGTCTTGGGCTGCCCAGATGACAAGACCCCGTCTCAGCCTCACTGATGTGGTCCGAAGGAAAGCAGAGCAAGATGTTTGACTCCAGGAGTTGCTGGAAGGAGGGGTGCAAGGTGCCAGCCAACCGTCTTAGGGACTCCACTCCAGATTTGTGGAGGGTTTACTCTAAGGTTACCAGATTTTTTTCAAATAATCCGGGGACAAAATGTTTTAATTTTTTTTTAACAAAAAAAAATTCTTTTTTTTTAAAATTAAGAAGTAATATCTTCTCTTCTGGGTCTCCTCTGTCACGTGGCCTTCCTCTGGGCCCCGACATGATCTCTTGGAGCGCTACCTGCCATGGAGTAGGCTCGGTCAGGCCTGGGCTCGGCCATGTGTCCTTGCCCTCCCGGTGCTCTGCTACCTCTCTTCCTCAGTGGTGGTGGCGGCAGCGTGGCAAGGTCAGGGCTCCCCTCTTTTTTTCTCCTTCCTCTCTCTCTCTCTCCCTTCTCCTTCTCCTTTCCTTCTTCTCCCTGTGTCGGCTCCGGAGCGCCGCTGGGCAGTCGGCCAGGTGGCCGGACACTCTCACTCCCAGCTCGATTTGGGTCATGGGGGTGTGTGTGTCAGCGGTTCCCCCAGTTGACATGCCGGGCATCCCCGGTTCCCCCTCGGCAGCGGCAGTCTTAGCAGCCTGGAGCCAACCTGATAGTGCAGTTGGCTCTGGCTGGCTTCAGAAGCTGCTCGCTGCCGTGGCACCCGCCATTTTGCCTTGCTGGAAGTCCCTATATGTTGTGTCTTGTGCCGTTGAACCAATCATGCAACGTTCATTCCCTACTAATAAATCTACAACACTTAAAATATAAATCCGGGGACATTATATGAAATCCGGGGACATTCCAGGGACGTATTTTGTCCAGGGACAGATTTGTAAATCCGGGGACTGTCCCCAGGAAACGGGGACATCTGGTAACCATAGTTTACTCCTTAGCCTTTTCTTCTCCCAAAAATATCCCGCAAAGCAGCAGAGGTTGAAGGTCAGAGTTTTCTTTCTCCTAGGTGGATGCACCCCATTTGCTCACTTCCCTCTACACAGCACATGCAGAAACCACCTTCTTGACTGTTGGACGCGCTATTAGTCTTGTCCACTCAATCCACCGGAGCATGTCTTTGCATGCAGGGGAAGTCCCTAACTCACTGGGGATTTGAGACCCCTTGGCTACTCTCACCTGGTTTAGCAGGCCTGTTGAAGTCATTCCCAGGGTGTTGAAAAGAGGTATACAAATAAAATGAATGAATGAAATAGAAAGTGAATGAATAGAGCGTGGCAGTCCCACACTGAAACATCTAGTGTGGAATCACCCCTTGTCTATAAACAATTGTTATATATAACAAATTATAGTTGTCTTCATTCTTGTTCTCTACGTGGCTATATATGAATGTTTAGGGATTTATAAGACAATTCTCATCATTCTCTTCAAACTACAATTCACAGGATTCCTTAAGGGAAGGCACCATAGGAACACTGGTGTAAAACTGATATAAATGTGTGGCCAAACATATGAGTGGTACTAAATCCAAGTTAAGAACTCTGACATGTTAGCCCACAGTGAGTTTATGAAAAGTGTCAAATGCATAGAATTAATTTTGAAGACGCTGGTAGATATGCTGAGAGAATTACATCATAGAAACGATCCCGCTAATGTTAAAAAGTGAAGAATTAACACCAACACTGTTGATCAAGTGCACATAGGGACCGTGTATACTTGCATGATATACTGTATATACTTTGAAAGCTGAATTTCTGTTTCTAGCTCAAGATCTAAAACAATTTAGTAAAACAATTATTTTAAAAATGACCATCCCCACCCTCAGTTTCTTCCATTGCAACAACTGCCTTATATAGAGTAAGACCGTTGCTCTATCTAGCTCTTTTCACTCTTCAGGATTTTAGACTGGAGACATTCCCAATCATGCCTGGAGATGCTAAGGAATGAAACTCAATATCTTCTGTATGCAAAGCAGATGTTCTACTACTGAACCAAAGCCCCTCCCCATTGCTCTAGGAAGCATATAAAAAGTATTGGAATAAACATGTCTCATTTGAATGTATATTCCATTTGGAGATTGAAGTAAAACACTAAGGACAGCATTTTCAAAAGTCCCTGAATGAATCTAAATTTACTGGGGATCAACATTCATCCACTTGTCACCTTCTTACTAAAAGACCTATAGTGGACTTATCCACTAGACTGATAGGACACCAATTACTGGGTGTGACCATATCTCAGCCCAGACACCCAATCAGGATACAGATAATACATGAGCAAGCTTGCAGTTGCTAGGCGACCCCAGTGTGCGCTTCACCATCTACCTCTAACTAGAAGGTTTTGGAGGAGAAACGCGGGCCAGACCTAAGGAAGGAAGCTTAGATGATGAAGATCTGGTCCCATCCTCCATTATCGCCCACATGCTGAAAACGTTACTGCCCAGTTCCCAAGACATTCCACATGCTCATAAAGAGAGTCTTCAGCTTAGCTACTTCTCTCTCACAACAAGGGGCTGCTCAGCAGCTGGCCCGCGGTGCACCTGACACCAAAACAGGAGTCAGGGAGAGAAAGAAGACTGCAAAATGAAGCCCACTTCCAAAAACTAAAGTGGAAAGATTTCACGCTCGTTTGCCTCACCTTCTCTTCTTTGAATGCCAGCAGCTGACGGGAGGAGGAGAGTGATTGCAAGGCAGCTGACAGTCACCAGCCAGTGCTGAGGCATTTCGGGGAAGTTCGGAGGGCTGTGTTGTCCAGAAAGTGCTCAGATCCAACGCTTCCAAGCAAAAGCCTCAAGATCAAGGGACAAAGCTGTGTGGTGGTGGACGTGCAGCTGCGGACAATTCCACCTGGGCCTCCGTTTCTTGTTCCAGGTGCTTTTTATCACCTCCTCTGCCTGAATCACTCTAGACAGGAATAAGAGAACTTGCCTTCAGTCTGACTCACCTTGCAAATAAAAAAAAGAAAAAAGAAGAGGGCCCAGCCCATGTACAGTTCAGGGAGACACTTAACAGTTTCTTCTTAGCCATTCGTAGGGGCGGATCTCTGCAGAACACAGCAGCCAAAGCCCCTGGCAGCAGGCCAAGAAGGAGTGGGGCGGGTGGCAGGAGGACAGAAAGAACAATTTAATTATTGATCTTCCGCATTAAAATCGCTTACAGGGCAAGCCCAAGGCCAGACTCACCGCAGGGCTTGTTCTGTAAACTCATTAATGTAAAACACAACTTCATTAAGTAGCTGCTTTTACCCTCAGGTAGCACCACTTTTGTTAAACCTGTGCCACGTTCCGGAATGAAATGGGCATGTTCCCACTCACCTTAGCCCAATTAGAATACTTGCAAAGAATTTGTTAGCATTATAATTATTACTATTACCTTAGCAACACCCAGAAAACACACCTCACCAGCTGTTATCCAATCAAAACAGCTTGAGAGGGACTCCTTTATGTCTGACATATTTTGAATCTATGATGAAAAAGAAGATGAGCTAAGACTTCATCCTGATTAAAGTATTCTGGAATCTACATGTTTAAATTCAGGTTAACTGAATTTACTATACTCACAACTCTATACCCAACACCAGCCTTATACAAACAAAGCAGCTCATACTTTGCACCAAACTCAAGCAGACAAAACAATACCGTTCAGGCGGTGTTATTTGCTTTAGCTCAGTGGTCTTTCCATATAAAAAGTGATTTATCCTACTGAGCTTTGTGTGCTGCAGAGAATTCTGGAGCTTTTCCTGTAGACCACAAGCAGTTTTTCACACAGGGCACAGCCGACTAGGAACAGTGCGCCTCACCATTAATTGTGCATAAGCTGAGGGTGCCGTGTTGAACACACCAAACTTTCTCCTATGGCTGTGTAGTCTTGGGGAAGACCAAGTGTGGTACAGAAGCTTATCCACTATTCTTGGTTTTCTAATAAAAGCCATCCTGGTAAGCTTCTGAGAAACTCTGTGGCCCCATTGAATAAGTCTGAAAACCTCTACTGTTAATCAGATCAACTGACTCTCACCTGCCATTTTTCTTATCCATTCACCATTTTAGAGAAATCAGTTAGGATCTCTTCAAAGTTTGCTTTGAGATGCACCATCCTGAGTAATTTTGATGTCCTCTGCAAACGTTCAGTGACATGTGTTCAAGATCTCCCATAGCTTCTAGTTATTTGCTCACACTTGGCAACACTCTCCAGGTATTTGTGAAAAAATTATGGTCCCTGCTTCCAGTAAAAGTCCTCTGTGCACCGTCCCTCTTAACCACTGCTTCCTGTTCTTTAATTAGTTACCCACTCAGAAGAGGAACTGTCTACTTTTCCCATGGCTGCAAAGTTTGTTTGGCAATGGACTTTGGCAATGGACATTGTCAAAGCTTTATGCCAGTTTCAGTACATCATGTCTATCAGAGCACCTCTATCCACATACATTGATAACTATGCTTGCTAAGAGGTTGAGGAAGCAGGGCACTTTGTTGCCTTTCTGTTTGGCTCATCCTTAACAGGAACTCCTTCCTAAGCTGCTTGTTTGGTGATAAAACATGGGGGGGGGGGACCCACAGTCTATACATATGCATATAGGGATATGGAGTTCAGAACTTACTTAAAAGTGACATATGTACAAGGCCTTTCTTATCTCCTAGCTTACTGCCTCTGATTCCAAACTCTAATTGTAGGTAATTAAAGCTCAGGTGTTTCTCATAATCTCTTGAGCTGTCTGGCAGCTTCCTCGGCCTTAAGCTGATGATGCTGGTTCAGACAGCGTAATGTTCTGTGGTTGCTCACTGCTGGGAGGCTCAGAAAAAGCATGGGGTGAGATCATCACCATGCTTTGCTATGGTTTGTCAGGTCCTTTGCCTCCAGGTCATGGCAATACCAGGCAGTAGAAGACTGAGGCAGTAGAGATGGGCAAACAGTTTCAAGTTTCTGGGCAAACACAAAAGTAGAACAATGGTCCCATAGACAGGTGTCTGTTGAAGAGCTAAAAATGTTCAGAACAATGTTTGATGAGGATGAAGATAACGATGGCAATAATAAGCTAGAGGAGAAACAGGCTTATGAAGTTAAAAATGGAAATGAAGCATGCACAGAGACTCCAGAACAAACTGATGAAAAGTTGGCAGGACTGGAACAAGAAATAAGCAAACTGCAGGAATCAGATGGCTATGTGGAAATGGAATTGGAAATGATCTCCATTCAAGGATTTGGAGGAGAAGTAGAAGATAAGATTACAAATGATGATTTGGAGATATATCTGGATAGGGTGTTGATAGAGCTGAAAGGAAAAAAAGCTTTGGGATTTCAGTCCTGGCCTTTCTTTAGCTTTAGCAGACAGAAAGGATTCTGCTTACAATCTGGAACGTACCCAAAGAACGTTGCTACTAAAGCTATGGTATTTCCTCTGGTAGGGATGCGGGTGGCACTGTGGTCTAAACCACTGAGCCTAGAGCTTGCCGATCAGAAGGTCGGCAGTTCAAATCCCCACAATGGGGTGAGCTCCCGTTGCTCGGTCTCAGCTCCTGCCATCCTAGCAGTTTGAAAGCACATCAAAATGCAAGTAGATAAATAGGTACCGCTCCGGCGGGAAGGTAAATGATGTTTCCGTGCACTGCTCTGGTTCGCCAGAAGCAGCTTAGTCATGCTGGCCACATGACACGGAAGCTGTATGTCGGCTCTCTCAGTCAGTAAAGCAAGATGAGCACCGCAACCCCAGAGTCATTCACGACTGGACTTAACTGTCAGGGGTCCTTTACCTTTACCTTATTTCCTCTAGAAATAGATGGGGGAAAATGAAAGTGGAAGAGATCAGGATACCATTGTAAAAAAAAGAGGAAATGGGATGCAACAGGATATGGAACTGGATATGCAGAACTGGACATGAACTTATGGATATGAAATGGAAAATCAAAATGGAATACTCCAACAGGAAGTGGAATACAGTAAGAAATGGAATCAAATAGATGGACTGGATATGAACAAATGGGATATTGGTCTAATATGTGATCATAGTAGAGACTTTAATATGGACACAGATGGAAAAATATAACTTTTAAAAGAAAAATAACCCCTACAACATTGATAAATGTAATCATAAATTGCATTAAGCCTTCAGCTCAAACACAGGCTTCACAAAAGCATACGCCCAAAAGAACCCATGTGTATGCCGTCTGAAATAGATGGGCCTTCAAGATCTTTTGGGGGAAAACTGGTGTGAGGTAACTTTTTGGAGGTCAGCTGACAATGAGTTCCAGAGTCGTGGGGCTACCAGAAAGACAAGTTCAGCTAATCACTGTTTCCTCCCTCCCCCCCCCCCCCGATTTTCCACAACAACAAAAAAGCTCGACAACTTTGGCAAAAAAACCCAACAACAAACTATAATTTCATAGAATGTACATTACTTTCCTGCCCTGGAAAGCTGCAGCTAAGTGTGAGTTCTCCCAACATGACATGCAAACCACTGTGTCATCTTCTCCTATCCCCAAAATCTGCAACATTGGATGATAATATGAATCTACTTTACAAGGCCATTGTAAGGCCTACTAGGATGACATACATACAAGCTGATAAGTGCTTTGAATGTTTGAATGATCAAAAAGGATTCTTGCAGGATTAATGTGTTCTTCTCAAGTGGAAATACTCTCCATGTAATAACTTGTCCCTTGCCAGATGTTGGTGCCCTACAATTCTGCAACAGTCCACCAGCCAGCATGGCCAACAGTTGAAGATGAAACAAATGGCAGTCCAACACTATGTGGAGGGCCACAGCTTAGCTACTGCTGATGCAGGAAATGCCTAACAGATAAAGAAGGTGCATGGCAGTATTAAAAAGTGTAAATACTGTTGCTGTGGGACCAAAGAGGCAGTAGAAGCAATTACAAACTGTGGCTAAAAATACTTTTGCCTGGAAGCTATCACTACCTAGTCGGTGACTACCTCTCCACTCAGATAAAGTTGTCTCAAGCACTCCTTCCCTGAAGCTTAGGTTAAAATAAAATTCCACACCCTCCAGGGCTGTGGCAGATCAGTGAAGGGCCACACCCTGCTGCTCAGTTCCGTTGAGCAAGCTAGGTGATGCATACCTGGCGAGACTGTGGCTGAGGTGTCAGCAAGGCAGGGAAGTACAGTCACATCTGGCCTTGTCCAGTCTGCTGCCCCTTCCTGCAGAACGGACCCCTCCTTCCTTCCCTCTCAAGATTAAAGAATTTATTTGCCCCTCTGCATACACATTCAATTTTCTTTTCTTTTACTCGGCCCTTTTAGCCTCTTTGTTGTAACTGTCAGGAAGGGAGCATCAATGGAATTCCTTGATGACATTCCTAGCATTTCCTGATTAATACGGAGAGGGATTTTGTCAACTCCTGAGCTGCCGAATGAGCTTTTAACCAAGAGTGCATTATACAGACACTATTTTCACAACACACTCCAGCAGGTCTAGACAAAGGTTTTGTGGTTGTGGGTGAGAATGAAGTTCTTTCTGGGGTGATACTACCCCATCATCTGCTCATGTAAAGCAAGCAAGATAATCATCGCTAAAATTAATTCTCCAGCAGACACAAATGTTTTCAGTAAGGCCACAGAGCTTCGTCAGTTCGATTAATCTAAGGAACACATTTTGATTATAATGATGCTGTTAACTGGGCAACAGCTTGGGAAGGGGAGCTGAAATTCTTCAACAGCTTTTTCCTCAGAAAAAAATATTTTAAGAGAAATTTTGGCTCATGTCATGTTGAATAACACTCTGTTGGAGGATGAAGGGAGCAGCGGGCTAAGAGAAGGGAACTGTAAGGAAGAAAAACCAACAGCATTAAACTAGACCCACAACTGCATTCATAGACGGCAAAATTGGGGAGGCTAATTTTCTAAATATTCCCCAGGGGAGGACTGAAATTCTAACAGTTTAGGAGGGGCTCAAAAAAGTGTAAAATAATAATTGGCAATTTCTCAACAT